ACTCCTGGGACGCTATTGTTGAATTTCGCCCTGTTTATACACCTAGTTTTGTCTAATTTTGCCTAAAACATTAAAATAAATATTTAAGGAGTTTTCGAACACTGGCGAGAGCCCTTTCAGGATTGCTGGATTTCTACTGGTTATTAATACTTTCAATTCATCCCTGAGTTACTTCACTTTCAGGGTCATTCTAACTGTATAGATACAAATTTCCTGTCCAGCATTCTGACTGTTGTTTGAAACAGTAAAGGCTGTTGTATTGGCGTCCAGTCTTTCTTTTATCTTTGCGTGTCGGTGGTGTCATTTTCGTTGTTGTTGTTGTTGACGTAGGATTAGGACAGACTAGCCAGCTCATTAAGTTAGGATTCGCTCATAGCTTACTAGGTCGTAGTTCCGGTCATAACATAAACATAAGGCAACTTTTATTAATCCGACACAAAAGAAACAATCTTGATGAGAATAGATAAGAATGTGAGGATTTTTTTGGTAATCTGCAAGCTTTGACATTTGATTGTGAGCCTCTGAACACCAAACAGACTTGTTGAGATCTCCAACACTAACTTGATGAAAACCTTGTCAAGGGTGATAAGAAAATGTCCACGAACAAAGCAAGAAGAATGACTAACATCTTCCCTCCTTACCACGAACTTTATAAATGTTCATTATTATTACTACTATTTCGGCAAAGTAAGACTTTAAGTACCACAAACTACCAATCAGCGAACGACTTTCAACGAACCAATCACATGAAAGAGGGACTTTTAAGTAAGGGAAACGTATATATATATATATATATATATATATATATATATATGCAAAAAAGCATAAAAACTGCATATAATCGTTACACAGGGTATCTTTCTTTAACATGTGACAGAAACATCTCCCAGTGAAGCATAGGAGTGTCAATAGAAAAGTCCCACCACATTCTCTACATATATTCATCTAAATGAGTATAAATGATATCCTTTTGAGATCCATTTATAGCCCTGTACGTCGGTGGCACAGTGGTTAGGACTCTCGCCGACCATACACATGGTCCGGTGTTCGAGCCCACGCCGACGCACACTTTGATGTCTATGGTCGGCCTGCGAAATTTGGGCTACCGATATCCATGCTGAAAATTCCATACTTGTACCAAAAATACGGTGTGGAATCAAGCTGTAATCAAAAATAAAATAAAAATAAAATTATTTTTAAATCTCTCCAAAAATGCTTTTATAGAATTCGTGTGTCTCTGTAATTGAATCCACAATATCACTAACATGGTTCACTCTGTGATGAGTATATCCAAGGGATGACGGCGAGTTATAGCCTTTCCATTCATCAGTATATACTATAGATCCCTTTTTCACCAGTCGAGTGACATAAGGTACTAAGGTCGTAGACTTTCTTGAAAAAGGGTGTGCAATTATAGGATTAGTAGACAAATCGAATAAAATAAAAGCGTTATGTAATATTGTGTGAAATTTGATAGCATCGAGTTTTCTCCAAGAGGACGCAAGTACACTATCCTGCATGATTAGGAAAAGGTGGAAGTGGAGCAATAAGAAGCGCGATCATTTAACATCTGGTCGAAAATGATCACCCTATCTCTATAGCCTCCGCCTTTAAAGTCATCTACAAGGCAAAGAGGAATTTACCCAAATCCCTGCGTAACCGACTCATCTGTATTGCTGAGGCTTTGGCTATCGAAACAAAAAAGCCAGATCTCTGTGTACAGAAAAAGTTCGTTCAACCCCTCCAACTTTCATGGTCTTAATCCCTCTATGCTAAAGTATAGTAATCCTCAATCATATTTTAGCTCTACCAATTTTTCATTTTTTCTATTCAATGTGTAGCCTCTTCCTTATTACGTCAATTGTTGCTATTACTACTCCCACTTTGAACTGTCCCCTGTACTATTGTGGTGAGAGCAGGCTGCTAGCCGATTGGTTGGCACTAATCTACGTTAAGGTCTAGGTCACTAATATGGGCCGTGAGAAAATATGAACAAGCCTGAGTCAACAACCAATCACAGCAAAGTTAACGTGGCAGAATATGATTCGCAGAGAGAACTCTATTTGTCAAGGAATCCCGAAACAACCAATCAGAAGCCTGCGTTTGTCTACCTAAACAACCAATCAGATGACTGCGCTTGTCTATAATAATGTAGTTGAAAGATGTATAAATACGTGTTGATTTTCATAATAAAACGATCTGTTGCCTGGCCCTTGTCTTCTGTTGTTACATTTGGTGTCGCTGCCTACCGACAAATGAAAAGCCTATACCCTGCAGTTTTTGATGGAGACATATGGATCTTCGGGCAGGACTTCAAGGCTTCTGCGCAGTTGAGTGGCGTTCAAGATCTGCCAGCGATGGAGCTGCTACTTGAGACGCTGCTGGGAGGTCGGGCGAAAGCAGCATATGAAGGTGTCGGCCGAAGTATGGACGAATGTTCGACAGGGTCAGGCAAACAGTTTCCAAAGTGGGAAGGACCATATATGGTCACTTCGAGATGGGGTTACGCAGACACAGTCGCAATGGCGAACAATAAGAGGCGCGTGAACGTCAGCGAGCTCCAGAAACGGATACAGCGAGACAAGCCAACGATGACGCCTGCACCAAGTAGATCAAGCCGACTTCAGTCGCACGTATTTGACGGGGGGACGAGTGTGGTGAGAGCAGGCTGCTAGCCGATTGGTTGGCACTAATCTACGTTAAGGTCTAGGTCACTAATATGGGCCGTGAGAAAATATGAACAAGCCTGAGTCAACAACCAATCACAGCAAAGTTAACGTGGCAGAATATGATTCGCAGAGAGAACTCTATTTGTCAAGGAATCCCGAAACAACCAATCAGAAGCCTGCGTTTGTCTACCTAAACAACCAATCAGATGACTGCGCTTGTCTATAATAATGTAGTTGAAAGATGTATAAATACGTGTTGATTTTCATAATAAAACGATCTGTTGCCTGGCCCTTGTCTTCTGTTGTTACACTATATCACTTGTTCCTCTTGTCATTCTAAATCAATTCTGTTTTGCACCGTTAAATACTGTGCCATCAAATTTCACACAATATTACGTTATGTCTTTATTTTATTCGATTTAATTGCGCACCCTTTTTCAAGTTCTATCCATCCTATGAATTATTCCATATATGACATTAATTGTTTTACCACTTGATTATAATCACAAAAATTTTAGTCTTAATTGCATTTCATACTCTTATTATTATTTTACGCATTTACACTTATGATTCAATTCCCTCACCGGATATAACTTCTTAAAAACCATATATATACGGATGTACAGCTTGATGATGAATTCGTTGAAAAGAGTCTCTTCTATATGTTACAATGGGAATTTTCCATGAGTAGACTTTCTGCCTGGTATTCTATCCACGAATCCTTTCGGCAGTGAGGCGTCATTATAAACCGACCACCCAAACATGGTTGGTTCGCTCACTACCCCACTGTTGTATTTTTTTCTTAATTAAGACAGTTTCATCCACGTGTAGGACGACACCTTCTCCTTCTAACAACGAAGTACTTCTCTCCATTTTCCATGATGCATTTCCATGTCTCTGCAGTTCTGGTACCACTAAACTGTCGACACAAGGCTATCACAAATTTCAGGAGCTGCGCCTCTCACACGCTGTTTTAAAACCCAGTAATTACAAATACACAAAATCTGGGTTAAGGAGAGATGCGACCTAGCAAAACATGTTCCTACGAAATATTAAAATTATCAGGTGGCCTTCCCTAGTACTAACTCGTCTCAAGCTAATGGCACAATGATGTACATATCCATCAGTCGACCTGCTAAAGCTTTTTAAACTCATGATACCTCCACATGAAAAAATCTTCTCCTTCCTAATCAACCCCAAATCCAGGCAATACTGCAAAACCTTATCTTCATTGAATTGCACGCGTAACTTGGTTAGAGCATGGATTTGATACGAATCATTGGACCATTTGAGGTCATTAGCTGATTGGTAGTTAGTGGTGCTTAAAGTTTAACTTAGCCATTATTTCAAGTGGAAGTATTTTCTGTGATCACTGATCAAATATAAAATATTGCATTCATTAAGGATTGGGTAAATACATCTCAACTTCACATCCAGTCAGCATGTTATTCTTCGATTCCTGTTTAAAACCTGGGCTAATAAAATACTCTCTCTATTTATATTGCATATAACTTCCTTTGTTCAGTTTGTCTTAATTTGTTAAAATATGACCTTTAATGGTCCTTTCTATCCTCGTGAGTATTTTTAAAAATGTCTACAACCCACTGATTCCCATGTTTCTACTAAATTTGAGGAAAAACAAAGTTTTGGGGTTGGTGGTAACATATCCCGATATTTTTAGTACAAATTGCCACACTTTCAAAGAAATAAAGCTAATTACCTTCGATCTTCAATTATTCAACTATTGATAATTACTCTCTTTGGATCAAAAAAAACTCACTCCTACATCTTTTCTAATTGGCTGTCAACCAAATATTGTGTATTTCTCGAAAGAAGCAAAAGAAGAAATACCATAAGGGAATGGTTTTAGCTTCAGGTCAGATAGTAGAGTGTCAGGAGATTTACTGTCGGTCATTAGTTTTCAAGTGTTGGCTTGTAGGTATTTGACTGGTTACAGGATTTCATCATGAGTTAACCTTATTTAGAGAACCACTGGAAAACCTGCAGGGAGTACTGGACAGCCAACTGTTTCGCCCTAGTTTGGGACTCTTCAACAGTACGCACCCACGGCCATGGTTCGAACCTAGGACCTTTTGGTTACAAGGCCAGCGAGCTCGTATACCATTAAGCCATTATTAGTTATTAGTTTACTTGAATATTGACGCCAGAGATAGAGTTCATTTTCTGATGACATTGAAGATATTCTCGTCTACTTATCTTTAATGTCGTTTTCAAAGTTATCAGTGAACAATATAACTATAACAGTGTTGTGATTTCTCGTAAGATATTTGAATAGAAAATTATTCGCTTAAAAAAACAACTGTAACATACCGTATAAGAATAGTCAATGTTCACTCCATTATAATAATCTGTGTGTGTATAATCATTGAATACTTTCCCAGGGAAAGGATTCCTATATTTATATAGAAAATAAGAAGTTAGATGGAGTATAGAAACAATCGACAATACAAAAAATTTAGAACAACACATTTAAGCGAACAATTTATTAGTAGTGTGAAATATTCCCATATTATGAATTAAAAGTCAATCTGAACGAAGAATATTCCTTTCGATAATTTCTCCTCTTTAGGTTCTTGCAATTATAAAATATAATATTCGTTGTCGTTACAATAATGCGAGCCAGTTATGCGGCGGATACATTTTTAACGTAGAATAACAGATTAGTTATCACAGAGTGTCCAAATAAATAGTTGTATTTGTGTGACAAACCGGAACTTTGTATCCAAAAAGAACACGTCCAGACGCTGTTCCTACCGTGGCCAAACTTGGATTGATGATTCTTCTTCTCACCAAAAGTGCTCCTTCCCCTTAACCATCTTGTTTTTTTTCCTTTGCTTATTATTACAAATATTATTATTATTTGTCATAATTTATGCCCTTTATGCACATATTCCCTCAATACTATCGAATTTATCATTGATACTATCCGGACTTATTATTAGAGATATTATCTGTTTTCTCAATATATGCCTCCACCTGTTTCATTTAACATATTCATTATCTCATTATGAACTTCTCATCGCAGTCTTACTATCTCCTGTTTAACACAGACCACTTTGTACTAGCCACTGACCTGACACCTTTTATAACTTTGAACTGGCTTGTCAATTTTCCTACCCCATACTCTACAAATTTATTATGATTAATCACCACCACCATTGCCTCCCGTTTTACAATATTTTGTAATCGATTTCAGCCTACTAGCACGTTTGTCACACAAATACGACTATTTACTTTAACACCCCATAACTAATCTGTTATTCTACGTAAAAAATGTATCCGCCGCATAACTGGCTCGCATTATTGTAATGACAACAAATATTACATATTTTATAACTGTAAGAACCTGAATAGGATAAATTATTGAAAAGAATATTCTTCACTCAGATGGACTTTTAATTTATATGTGATTTAGTGATTTCACAATAGGTTTCATCATGCATTGATATCATTTGACAAAATATTTTTATGAACGAAGAGGCTAGAGATGTCTCCTTTTATCCCATTCTGAAGAACTGATCACAAAATAACTTTGGTTACAGAACCAATGAAAACCAAAGAGTAATGGAAAGTTGCTTCGTCTTTGTTTTGGACTCTTCAGGGGTATGCCTCCTTCACTTTGCAAGAGGTTGAACTCATAACCTTCAGGTGACAAGGTGAGCTCGTTAACCATTCAGACTCTAGGACAGAAACTCATATCCCCTCAACTCGAACTTCTACGAGTTCACGATATTTTATGTGACCGGCAACCAACTAATATCATTGGCCAGTATTTGTCTACACATCCAACTTGATGAATGCAGGTAACTTCACTCCGCAGTCAGTCACTAGTGAGCATTAAACTAATTTTCACTTGAGGGAAATTATGAACAGTGTGGGTTTGAGAACAAATGTTCACCGATGATATTGGCTAGTGGTCACACTATATAGCGCAAAATAACAGAATTTAGAATTAGTAGGCCATTAGATTCTATCCTAGTGTCTGAATGGTCAGCAGGGTCACCCGGTCACCTGAAATCCATGGATTCAAACTCTGGTAGGGTGACGGACACCTACCTTTGAAGAGTCCCAAGTAAGGACGAAGCAGTCGTCCAGTACTCCTTGGTTTTCATTGGTTCTGTAGCCAAAGTTAATTCGTGATCAATGTTGAAATCAATCAAATCTCTACCTGAAAATCAATACTTGAAAATTGTCTCAGTTTATTGGCTCATAGTTCAATAAAGTGACTAAAATTAGGACGGATGAGTTTTAAGTCAAATCAATGGATGAATAATCGAACGATATCGACATGTAAGTATAACGAATCCGTACGCTATAACCACTTCTACTCTTTTGGTGTGTTCTTTTTTGGGAGATTTTAATCCTTAATAAATATCTACTAATTTAGAAAGTGAATTACATTTGAATTACATGTTGTTTTCATATTTAACTGTATTTATTTAATACAACTGATTTATCTCATCGCACCTGAAAGAAACAACCTCTTTTACCAACCTACCTGGGAAGCATCGTTTCAACTACAGGCGGACAGAACTGACGGGGATATCAAAGCCAGAATCGGGAAAGCAAGAAAAGCTTTCATTTCTCTCAAGTCTGTGTGGAGGTCAACAGCACTCAGCATTAAAAATAAGATCCGGATTTTCAACTCCAATGTGAAATCAGTGCTACTTACTATACAAATCAGAGACTTGGTGCGTCGTAAAGAGCATCTCAAACAAACTTCAGACCTTCATTAACAGTTGCCTTCGCTCAATACTCAAGATCAGATAACCTGCCAAAAAAGATCAGCAACAGGGACCTCCGGGAGCGAACCAACCAGGGACCGATTATGCAACAAATAAGCAGGAGGAAATGGAGGTGGATTGGCTAAACTCTCAGTGACATCACTAAACAATTCCTTGAGTGGAACCCGAATAGGAAGCGGCGAGTCGGTCGTCAATGCAACGGTGACATCATAGAGGAGGTCATGTGAAGAGGAGATGAAAGCATGTTGGCAGACGTGAAGTCGGGTGAAAACGTTGGCAGAGAACCAATCACGATGGAGACGTTCGGCTGAAACCTTATGTTCCTCTACGAATTAAAGGAAATAGTGATAATAACCTTAACATTTCTATGATTAAACTATAGATTTCTTCCCAAACTGAAAGGCTAAAGAATCCTTAATAACCGTATTTTCAAAAGAAATCCAGTAATTAACAGATAACGTGCTTAACTCCCACGCTCCACTCTCTTCTGTGTTGCTCTAAATTATGTCAGTTAAAATTACGTTAAAACTTCTAACATGCCTAAATTGGTTTGTGTATGATGTACCAGTGTAATGGTGTTAAGCGTCAGTTTTTTTGGAATGTCGTTTTCACAGTAAGCTGAAAACCGTTAGCCGCATTAATACATTCATGAAAAGTTTTATACTCATCATCATTTACCGATAAGGAAAAAAGCTTGAGTAATAATAGCTAGTGCACTGACAGAAGAAAAAAAAATTTTCAAATATCCCTTCACGAGGAGTTCATTGGTCAGAGAACCACTGAAGGCCATAGAGTACTAGATAGCTGTTTAGTCCTTGTTTAAGACCCTTCATCAATACTCACCCATAATATCATCGGGGATCGAACAAAGGGCCCTCAGGTTACGAACCGAGTTTTTTTTCAACGGTTTAAGCATCAGGATAGAATCCTATGCTCCATGATTTCTAACTGCCGCTTATTTGTGATGTACAGTGCCACCGGCATCCCAGTGGTGTCGTGCTTGTGGACTGTTGAAGAATCCTCTACTAGGATGAAACAGATGTTTAGTTCTCTCCAGCTTTCAGTGATTTCCTAATCGATATTGGTTTGTGACAATGTCTACATAGAAATTAATTCATATCCTTACAAACTCTCATAATCTAAATTTTAGTTTAATTGACAATTAAAGTACAAATAAAACCCTTTTTATCATTTTTACGTTTTAGTAAAGACCTTGATAGGAAGTAAAAGAGGAAAGTATCAGATGACCTTGACATTCTGTAGGACGAACAGAATCAATCGATTTAACTGCAATAACAAAAAATGTAGGGAAAAAAGTCACACGCATACTTGTATAAATACACATATCCAATTATATAAGCGTAAGATATAAATATTAGATATGATAATATAAAATAAATAAATGTAGAATATGTATACAGTTGGTGGATGGTGGCTAGCAGTGGAATCCAGGATGCGCATTTCGTCTTAATTGGGACTCGTTAGCTAGATGTACCTGCATTTCTCAGTGAGTGATGATGTTCCCACCGAGGCTCGAACCCAGTGCCCATAGTTTCAAACTCCAAAGCGTTATCCACTAGACCACTTGGGCCACGACAGCCACCTGTTGTGCAACAGGTCATATTAATTATTGAATTGAATTTTTGATTTTCCCGTCATCGGTCCAATCAATCGACGGGAAAATTAAAAATTCAATTCAATAAATGTAGAATATATTCAATGAGGAGAAATATAATATCAAATATTTCGAAATCAGGAGGTAAACAACCTTGTATACTGTCAAAAATGTCAACAAGAAAAAACTTTAAATGTCTCAACTATGAATTGCACTATTTGTCAACCATGAGGTAAGTGAAAAACCGTGCTAGTTTCCCTACACACTTTTCAATTTACTTAATGTTTTTCTTTGCTAGACTCTAATGAAACATCTTGTCATGGTGGCGGGTTCCCTAGAACGTATTCCTCGATAATCTTAAACACCAATGTCTGAAGAACACAAATCATTAGTTCCCTACTTTCAGAGGACAGTCAGTATATACAGACTAAATGCTCCTCAGTTGGAAGAAATACCCTCCTCCACCGCTTGGAGGAGAAAAGATGTTACTTACCACCAATTTAAGAACTAGCCATCAGTTTTTCCTTTGTTGGATAGGATTATATCTAAAGACCTTCGTTTGTTTACTTCTGTTCAGTAAATTTGGCCCACTTGAACTTTGTTATAAGTTACTCAGCTTATTCAGTGTAGTAGTTTTCACATTAATATTACTATTTTCTCGAGTTTCGAGAGCGACACAGTGCCTCATCAGTGCATCTCCATTTTGCTGTATTATATCTGCAGTGGTTTTTATCTGGCTCTACGATTACCTACAAGAGTTTATTTCTTTCTCACATGGTGTCCTCCATGGTACCCTGGGGTACACGTCTAACTCATTGTTTCTCATTCGGGTTCCGCTCATGCGTCTGCTTGGTATGTGATGTCATCTGATGGTCTTCTCGACGTGTGTCCAGTCCATCTCTATTTCCTTCTGCATATTTCTTGGACAATAGTTTCTTGGTCGATTCGTTTACAGAGTCCTTTGTTGACAGTCATTTCTGGCAGGTCATTTGAACTTCACTGTGGAGTGAAGGCAGCTTTTGGTGGAAATCTGAAGCTAGCTATTGGGATTACTTTCAGTGGTGCGCACTTTAAGTCTGTGGATCATATAGAAGAATTGATTTGACATTAGTAATGAAATTTTCAAGTATTAGTTTTGTAGGGATTTTATTTGATTGTTTGAAGGATTTCATCGTGAGCTCACATCAGTTACAGAACTATTGGAAAACCTATGAGTAATGGACAGCTGTTTCGTCCTAGTTTGGGACTCTTCGGCTTTACATAACCCCCGGGGTTCGGACCCAGGTCCTTCTGGCTTCGAGGCAAGCTCAAAGACCATTAAGCCACTGGGAACCAATCCAGTGTCCCACGAATGCTAACTTCTTCCAATTTATGACATAGCATGGTCATTTCACAATGTCTTCTTCGATGACGTACTGCCTCACCCTCAACCTGCTCTACCCTACTGTTCATGGCTTCCTACTAGAACCCACTAGAGTCAGAAGGTCCTGGGTTCAAGCCCCGGTGGGTGATTACTGATGAAGAGTCTCAAGCTAGGACGAAACAGCCGTCCAGTGCTCTCAGGTTTTCCAATGGTTCTCCAAATGATGTCAGATCATGATGAAATCCTCCAACCAATTAGTGATGAAAAATTCGGATCGTGTTTCTTACTCTGAATGCAAAAGATCTCCACAGTGATTCCAGAATAATATAGGTCTGTTTTGCCTTTTTGATCCTTGTTGGCTTTGATATCATTATCTGTTCTCTCTCTAGTCGGAAGGCTTCTACCCAGATAAAGGAAAGACATGGCTTCTTTTATATTTCTCCAGTTGACAGTGATTCATGTTTGTCGTTAATAGTTAGCTATCTTCGTCACCATTGTCCTCTCTACCTCCACTTGAAGTCCGTTCTTTTCCGTCTCTCCTTATAACTTGCTGGTTTTCTTCTTGAAATCTTCGAGTTTTGTTACACTAGATATAAATCGTTGTCAAAGTCCAGATTTTCTAAAGTTTTCCCTGTAGGCCCAGTTGATGTCTGTCTTCTCACTTCCCATGGTTTGTCACATGATCCACACCACCACAATTAGAAAGGACATCGGTGATATTAAGCAGCCTTGTCTTACTTCCCTTTTCACTTCAAAGGTTTCAGTGAGCTTTCCATTGTTAATCACTTAGCATTCAGCATCATCATTTAGCTGCTGAGTGAGTTAAATAAAGGTTTAGCACACTCCGTAGTACTGAAACAACGTTATAACAGCTAGAGGCTTGAAGTTTTGGGTAGCAGTGATATTTATTTTTACGGGATGGAGTTGCTAGCCTCATGCCCAACCTTCTCTTTTTACCAGTCTTACCCTGGCTTAGCGAGTTAAAGGAGTGAGTCGGCCGGGTATCGAACCTTGAACCACCTGCGTGGATAGCGAATATTCTACCTCTGTGCTGTGAGTGGTGTTCGGACGCATGTGGAGATGAACTCCAGAGGATCTTAAGTCCACCGCCTTAACCACTTGACCATCCCAGCTATGCTAATTGATACTTATGTTAAATGTGTTTGTTTTGAAACATCGAATGGAACTTCTTTTGAATATTTCACAATTCTAATTTATAGAAGTTAAGTTTTAACAGATATTTGTAAACAAAAACACTTACCATTGGTTATTAGCAATATCATCGTACATAAAAGTTATAATTTGATTGGCTGGAATTCCTTTAGCTCGAAGCAGATGATAAGCATGACATACATTAGCCTTGATATTGAGAAAGAAAAATATATGGATAAAACACACAAGTGGAGATGAATATTTTAAACTTAATACACATTTAAAAGGTAGAAATCGTTAGAATAAATTAATTTTACAAGGATAACACGTAATTAAAGATGAAGAAGTTAGAAAAATAAAATAATTTGGACAGTTATAATTTTTATAATTGTAAAGGTTTAGGGGGAGGGGGCGAAGTAGACCGGTTTATACATTCATGTAACGATGGCCAGGGTAAGGAAAGTGACTGTACAATTTTTTTCTGAACACACAAGTTTAGCTTCTTCAGAAGGATTCTTACTGCTTCAGCTTTATGTACAAGATGAACTTGTAAAGCAAAATTAAGGTTAGTAGGAATGCGATAAATAATTGTAAATGCCGTATTAACGTCAACTTTATGCTCACTATCTACAAGGTATGCTAAAATAGAGCTACAAATAGATCTTGTTTGCCCCTTGCTTAACCATGCTAGATGATGTTCGGAAATACGATGATGAACCTGCCTAATTGTACGCCCGTTGTAGCTGGCTCCACAGCTGCAGTCAAACTGGTAGATGCACATAGAGGAGGCAGATTTAGGTAGTTTATCCTTATTTATCGAACGCAGAATAGTACTGGTTGTGAGGAGACAACGTACCTCTGTTGCATAATCAGCTATTTTAACTGCTTTCTTCATGCGCTGTGTTATTATTTTGCTGATGTTGTCAAGGGAAACTGCAGTTTTTTGAACAATGGTTTTTTCGGAACTGTTGTCATACCGACTCTCCTAGGTGCTGAATTCAAATTCTTCTCAACGAACTTATCTGGATAACCATTTTTTCTAAGTAATTCCCTAATAATCTTAAGCTTCTTATTGAGGCAGTCGTCTGAAAAGGTTAACCTTACTCTACGAACCAGACACTTTAGGTGGTTACATCAAAGATACAGAACTCAAAAAATGAGTGTACTGACCTGTGTGCCATCTTCTTTCCTTCCCACGAATACATCTAAGAATGAGAAACGGTCATTACTTTTTTTCGCTATGGTAAACTTTATTGCTGAATTGTGCATCATTAAACTTGTCAAGGATGCATCATTGCATCATTCTCGTCTTTCATAACCAGAAATGTATCATCCATATATGGACAGCAGAAATCCAAGTCATTAATTACTCCTTTCAGTGGTCCATTCTCTAACTTAGCGAGGTAAAAATCAGCTAGGATTGGACCTGATGGGAAACCCATGTCTACACCATCAATTTGTCTGTAATATTCCTTATTGAATAAGAAATGAACATTCGTTGTACATCTTAAAATAAGTTCCTTCAAGGTGGATACAAAAATGCTAATGTCTATGTTTCGTATAGTAATCTCCTGACATATAAAATCCACTGTCTCCATTAACGGTACATTGATGAACAGGGAGGATACATCAAAAGATATCATAAACTTGTTCCTATCAACTTAGTCAGTCAAATGACTTCTGTCTACTTCGTTTCGCCGACTGGTTATTTATCATAATTTTAATCTTATTTTTACAATCTGGATTTGGAAGTTTGAATGGAATCATTTATATACGAATAGAACAATAAACAAGTTTGGCATACATAGATAAATTTATTTGATATGACATGCATTTGGTGATAAATTGTTAATCACTGGATGAAGTTTCGAGCATATGACATCCTTATTTACTTTATGTGAATAGTCTTACCCCCTGCTGTTTTTTTATTGCAACCTTCCACTTTTATCCTAGATAGGTTTTACTTCATTCCCACTGCTTGTGTTAACTGGGCAGAGATGTGAATTACTAAATCTTTGTTCATCGAATCAAAATCAAAGAAAACTTTGGTAAATTTTCACCTCCAATATATTATTATTATCGTTGTTTCCTTTAATTCCTACAGGAACATAAGGTTTCAGCTGCACGTCTCCATTGCGTTCGGTTCTCTACCGACCTTTTCACCTGGTGCCACGTCTGCCCACATCCTTTCATCTGCTCTTCACATGACATCGTCCATTTCACCCTCTCACTGACGACCAATGCGCCGCTTCCCATTCAGTTGGGTTCCACTAGAGTGATGGCCTGCTGTGTAAAGTCACTTGATGGTTTGTTTTCTCGGTGTATGGCCAATCCATCTTCATTTCTTCCTGCCTATTTGTTGCACAATTAGTTCCTGCTGGGTTGATTCGTTCATTGCCAGAGATCCCTTCCTGTTGCTGATCTATTCTGGCCGGCCATCTGATCTTGAGTTGTATTGAACGAAGACAGCTGTTGATGGAAGTCTGTAGTTTGTTCGAAGTGGCCTTCGTCACGCACCTAGTCTCTGATCCGTATGGTAGCACTGACTTCACACTGGATTTGAAAACCCGGATCTTATTTTTGATACTGAGTGCTATTGACCTTCACATAGACTTGAGAGAAATGAAAGCTTGCCTTGCTTTCCCAATCATCGCCTTGGTATCCGCGTCAGTTCCGTCCGCCTGTAGTTGAAACGATGCTTCTCAGGTAGGTAGGTAGGTGGTAAAGGAGGTTGCTTCTTTCAGATTCCTCCCACTTATGCTGCCTGATTGTTGTCTGTTGTTGTTGCTGTTGATGTTGGCCAGGAATCTTCATCACCTCTATTTTCTCTACGTTCACCTGAATTCCTGCCTTCGATGCTTCTTCTACCAACTTGTTACTTTTCACTTACAAACCTTCTAGCTTGTGGAAAATCAGACATATATCATCAGTGAAGTCCAGATCGTCGAAGCTTTTTGTGTGAGTCCATTTTATGCCTATTTCCGTGTTGCCCGCTGTCTGTCGCATTATGCAGTCTAAAACATCAGGAAAATCATTGGAGACAGTAGGCAGCCACCCAGCTTTTCTTACTCCAGTCTTCACTTCTCAGGATTCTGTGAGTTTCTCGTTCTGGATTATCTGGCATGCAGCATTCTTGTACAACTCTTGGATAATATGCATAATTGTTGGTGGCACACCATATTAGCGAAGTAGTTTCCAAACTACCTCTTGATCGACGCTGTCACCTCGAATATGTGTGAACATAAAATGAAGTTTCTTTACGAGTGGGTCCAAGACTAATATCAGGTAGAGAACCATTGAAAACCGAGGAGTACTGGACAGCTGCTGTTTCATCCTAGTTTGGGAATCATCGGCAGTATGCACTCACTGGTTTTCAATGTTTCTCTAACTAATATCAATCCGTGATCAAATCGTAAAACAACCAACTAAAGAAAATAAAAATGATGTATTTAATTCCTTTCGATTGATTCATCTCGTTGAGTTAAGTGTACACGGGTACACCCCGGATGAGCTAAGCACCAAGCATTACTAACTGATGTGGGTGGTACTCAGTGATTCATATCAATTAGTAGTATATACCACTTGAAAACAGTATAGAGGATTACCGGAAATACCCATTGAGTCATTCAGAGGAGAAAATTTTCTTTATCGACGAAATCATCTCCACAGGCTGGCTACACAGTCGTATTTATATTTACCGAAAATCTATAGTGGTCTATTATTGAGTAATAGGAGGTGACGTAATCAATATAATTACTCATAAGTGGCTTTAGAAGTAAAAAATTAAAATTTGTAAATTACACGGTACTGAACGGCACAAAGATAAAAATTTGATAAGGTTTAAAATTTCTATTGAATGAGAGAGAATAAAGGTATTTGAGTGCGAGTTTAACAAGTTAGAAGAGGGTGTGAAAATGTACAAAAGATACAACCTCTGAAGATGATTTCGTCGATAAAGAAAATTTTCTTCTCTGAATTTGTCTTTTATATTATTTATAAAGGATTAATACAAATGTTATATATCATTAAAATTTACAATTTCTGCTAAAATAGATTACTGGACAGAAAAAAGCAATGATGCATTGAAGGGACCAGCTTACAAAAATTCGACATCACACTGAACAGATAACTAATTTCAAAGTTTAGTCATCCAAAGAAAAATGAAAGAGGTTTTATTAGGCCTCCACGTTTATCAGGTCACCAAGTTTATTCATTACCTTATATTCTTCTGAATGATTAATGTTTGTTACATTTATTATTGGTTAATTATTGAACAGGAGAATGTAGTGTTTCGTCTTACAATTCTTCCTGTCCACAGGATCCAGATGATTGATACCAAAAGGTAAGATTTACTACAGTAAACGTAATTACACAATTTATTCCACAGACTTCAAGCAAATACACACACTGAAGTAAATAACTATCAGATGATTTATTTGACTACTGAAATCATTTTGAGAGCTACAAGGATCGTTTTAAAGAAGATATTGTTCTTCAGTCGAGAATTCAGAAGAAGCCATATATATATATCGCTTTCAGTACTGTCAAACGTCGTCTACAGTTCGCAGAATTATTCAAGCACAAATATCGAGATTAAGACACCTGAATAAAATCTGCATTTCTGTTCACCATCAGGATAAAGTAACTGCAAAGTTATTATGTAGTGCTTACGCATGATTTTGCAACATTAAAAGGTGATCTAAATTAGAATTCATGTGCCATTAGATTCTCTCCTAGTGGCTAAATGGTTAACAGACTCGTCTCGTAACCTGAAGGTGCTGGGTTCAATTCTCACTGGACTCATGGATGTGTGCTACTGAAGAGATCCAGACTAGGGCGAAACGGCTGTTAAGTACTCTCTGGTTCCCAGTGCTTATCGAATTGATGTTAATCCGTGATCCCTGCAAACCAGTACTTCAAAATCAAAATAAAGTAGTGTGGTGATTGACAATTTCTATCTCTGTATTGTTTCAATACTTACTGTTGATTGTTAATATGTTTCTTATATGAATTGCATAATAATTCCGCTAAATACAAATTCCTGAATTCTGCCCTCTCTGTGTTTTGTTTGGATTCTTGTAATTCGGTCATCTTGAAATACTAATAATACGATTACAATAAATTACTACAAATTGGCGTCGCGATGGAACTAAATAACCTGGGAAAATTTCCTATTAATGGGTCTCCGCGGGAGATTGCTGATTATTTGGAATGCTTCGATGCGTGGTGCATTTCAAAGAATGTTCGGGATGACAAAATACCAGCACATTTCATCACTGCTATTGGGCTAGATGCGTATAGCCTAGTAAAGACTCTGTCATTTCCAGATAAACCTATTTCTCTGTCATATGTCAAGATTCGTGAACTTCTGACAAATCACTTTCATGTAACTACTTTTGAGACCAGAGAGAGGGCTCAATTCCATAAACTGGTTCGTGCTCCCAACCAGAGAATTAGAGACTTTATTCTGCAACTCCAAATACAAGCTTCAAAGTGTAATTTTGGAGATCAGCTGCATACTCAACTACGTGATCGTCTAATTGCTGGAATCAATATTCCTAAGTTAGAGAAAGAGTTAATTCAGATTCCTTCTTGTACCTTTCAAACTGCTAAAGATTTATGTATTACATATGAAGATGTCAATAATGAATACTCTGCTCCCACTACGTCAGTATCTGATGTCATGCTTTCTAAAGTCGAAAATACAAGTGGTCATGGAAAGCAATCCAAACTGCCGTCCACAGGTAATAGAATGCAGCCAGAGATCAAAAACATTAAACCGTGTTTATCCTGTGGAAAGTTACATCTACGAAGCACTTGCCGTTTTCGGGGTGCTAAGTGTCACAAATGTGGTAAAGTTGGACACATCAAGACTGTTTGCAGAAGTTCGAATACTTATGTTGCTCAACATTCTTATAATTCTCCCAAGCTGTCTAGTAAAATGGAGTCAATGTGTCTTTCAACCTTTCAAAATACTCAAGCTAATCCAATGAAAACCTCCACTACAAGTTCGGCAACTCAAGTGTCAACTGTTTTCAAAAATGTGGTAGCCGAGTTACAATGTGAACTGTCGAAAACACGAAAAGACCTGAATGAGATGAGAGAGCAACTGATTAAAATGGAGGAATTGCTGCATATGCATAGACTGCGTCTGTCGAATGCAGAGCATACAAGTACCCGTGAAAGTCCTGCAAAACTTTTCAAATCTCGAATTCTCAAAAAGCATCTGATGTCCACGACTTCTAATGTACATTATTACAAAGGAATGACTATAGACCTTCTGTTGGAATTATACTACAAAAAATGGGAAATCGAGTGGTGAAGATATTAGACATCAAAGATCACTCAGTTCATAACAGACACCTGGACAAAGTGACAATAAATGAAGTAGGTCGTTCCAATTATATTATTGATTCCGCTAATAATCCTGATTTTGTAGATAATTCAGAAATAAGTCCAGATAATACTGATGAAAATAATATCACAGAATCAGTTAGGTCGCAGCTACTTGCAAGCAAACCGAGACATCGTTATAAGTACGCAAGGAGATATTCGACGTGTGGCGGATGTGGTGATTGACAATTTCTATCTCTGTATTGTTTAAATACTTACTGTTGATTGTTAATATGTTTCTTATATGAATTGCATAATAATTCCGCTAAATACAAATTCCTGAATTCTGCCCTCTCTGTGTTTTGTTTGGATTCTTGTAATTCGGTCATCTTGAAATACTAATACTACGATTACAATAAATTACTATAAGTAGTTTGATAGTATTGCTTGTAGGCTCTCTTTTTTCCCCAACACCTTAGGTTTTTATGGCTATAACTTATATGAACTCTACTGTACTGAATTGCGCTGTTTTTCAAAATTCTTATCAAACCTTCTGTGATGGAGTAGTTTGAAGTGGAATTGCTGAACTGCATCGATTTCCTAAATCTTATTTTCTAGTAAGAGAAGACGGCATTCACATCAGCTTACACACTCTCCTCATCTTTATTTGACATAATGAAGTGTTGCGTCATTCATCGGTGTTATCAGAGGGACATATATAATAAATCCCTTTTAACTATAGACAATTATCCCATAATAAATACAGACTTTTTATTGGCCTGAACCAGTGAATATATATAGATATGCGACTTCAAATTTGTGAACCTTTATAAGTCTCAGAAAATACTTCACAAAATTTTTAAATATCTCTTAATTGACTTTACATAGTGATAATTACGCGATACAACCGGAAGATAACCGGTTTACTTTACTCCACTTCCCTGTTCCTTATCACAAATTTGAACTTATTCCCAAATATGATTTCATGTTTAGTGAATGGAGCATATACCTAAAAGCTGCTTCTCTTGTGTTAATCACTTTCCGAAGATCGTTAAACTGACAATGTTTAATTTACAATGTCAAATTAAGGGGATATTTTTAATATATCCATTTGAATAACAAGGAACAATGATGAGTGCAGCGAACCAACCAAGGATCCATTGTTCAACAAATATGCAGAAAGGAATAAACCGTTGAATGAAATCGCACACTAGTGAACCTGCTCAACAGAAGCCGCATGGTTGGACATATGCCAAGGACGATATAGAGGATATCGTGTGAGAAAGAAATGAAGTATTATGAGCAATCCTGTAGCCAGCTATTACAGGCTGCAGAGAGCAGAGTGAAATAACGATGTGCCGCTAAAGCTATATGCTTCATTAGGTACTCCGAGGGAATAATAATAACAATGAATGAATAGCAATCAAACATGAAACACTATTTTTTCAATACATTATATTGTAAGAAAGGAAACCATAGGAATAATAGGCGTATTTTGCAAAACATTTATCCTTATTAATTTTAAATAACTCTGTAATCGATAAAGTTATATATTCAAAGCTACCTGTCCACCTGATGCAGTACAGATCTACCTCACATGAAACTGCTATGTTACAATTGAATTATTATATCAGCAGGTCAGGCATTTATGAAATAAACAGTCTGTGGTGACGATTTACTGTGACATTTAGAATACGCTGTTTGATCAGTGATCGGTCAATATAGTTAATTCAGATATAGATCAAATTGAACTAACTCTACTATGTTGCAGCAGGTCGAGCGTGAGGACAAATACTCGCCGAAGACATTGGCTAGCGGTCGCGCTGTGTCGTGAATTGGCAGAAGTCGGAATTCATGGTCTGACCAGTGGATCGGGTCCCAGTGGCTTAATGGTATACAAGCTTTCCTTGTAACCAGAAGGTCCTAGGTTCGAACCATGGGTGTAGGTGCGTACTGATGAGGAGTCCAAAACTAGGACGAAACAGCTGTCCAGTACTCCCTGGTTTTCCGATGGTTCTCTAACTAACGTCAGCTCATGATGAAATCCTGTAACCAATCAAATCCCTACAAACCAACACTTGAATATCTAAAGAAAGAATCATCTACTAGTTGGACTACCTTAGAAAGTAGTTCTGAGTGATTGGAGTAACATGTTTGTACCATGTGGTCATAAAGTGGTCAAACAATTTTTTTTGATTTTTTATTATAGCTTGAAACCGCATAGTATTTTTGGTACAAGTATGGAATTTTCAGCATGTGATATTGGTAGCCCAAATTTTGCAGGCCGACGATGGATATCAGGTGTGCGTCGGCAGGGGATCGAAGCCGGACCATATGCATGGTCCGCGAGAGTCCTAACCGCTGTGCTGCCGACGAACAGACCAAAATTACACAACCCCAGTGATACCGCCGCCAAACACGGACACGAATCAGCCAAATATGTTCGAACCTATATCATTTACATAAATATTTTTTTATTTTTTATTTTTTTTATTTTTGATTACAGCTTGATTCCACACTGTATTTTTGGTACAAGTATGGAATTTTCAGCGTGGATATCGGTAGCCCAAATTTTGCAGGCCGACCATAGATATCAGGTGTGCGTCGGCGAGGGCTCGAACCCCGGACCATGTGCATGGTCGGCGAGAGTCCAAACCACTGTGCCACCGACACTGATTCTCTAAAATCTTAGGCTTTGCAATTACATTTTCTACAGAGTGTTAAAGTCTTATCCTAAACATTTAATAATAATATTATTACTATTATTATGAAATTTAATAAGCTCACCTGATGTCGATAATTAACCCAACCTTTTGATCCAGCTACTAGAATAGCCCAAATTTTATGATTATCAACTTCCCAAAATTCCTTTTCAAATTTGCTCACACAATCAATTTGATAAAAAAGATGAATTAATAATAATACACTGGTAACTAGGAGAGAAGACATAAGGATAAATTAAATTTAAACAATTAAATTTCAAACAATTATTTATTTATATACTTTATGAATTTATCATACTTTAGTTCACACTTCAAAAACAGTTAACTCAAATTTGAGTTGTATATTATAATTAAAGTTCAAAGCACCTATTTTTAGCTTTTCTTTGAAATGTTAAAAATAATTTTAACAATCAAATAGGAGAAAAATGGACTTTGAACTTAGTGGTATACTAAGAGTAAATAAATCCTTAAATACCTTAAATTTGATCAAATACACACTTTGTATAACTTAAATTACTAGTCAAGATTGATTTGCACATTATTTAGAGTAAAAGTAGTGTAGTCTCTTATATTCACAGGTTTATTCGTTAATTGAATGTTTTAATGAATAAAATTCAAGAATAATAATCCAAGTGAACGAACGACCCAGTGACCAATCATATTTTCCCTAGGTAGTAATACACTAATTTGATGGTATTAGATGGTTGGAGGCAATCGGCAGGAAGACTTGGACCTAGATTTCGTGCTAGTTGGCACTCGTTAGTAATACACTAATAGTCAGTGACAATGAATTAATCATGAATAACGAATGTTGTTCTAAATTTAGGGAAAAAATAGTATCAGACTATATATCTTAAAGAAAACCTTAACCAACAGCTCCTGGCTCTGGCCTAAGAATAACTCAAACCCTGGCTTTTGACATCATACAGAAATCACTTAGAAGAACATCGAAACTGCTACTAGAAGACTGGATATAATTCTTGCAAGATTCTACATTAAGGTATCATATTTAACATTCTTGTACTTCTTTAAACATTTTCTCATAAGATATTTTAGAAGATTCGGGAGTGTTGATGTTTACGGAAAGTACAGTGTATACCAATAGGAGCTTTTATACCCACAACTCCCACAGTATTTGTTATAAGTAGACAAAAGGCAAATCAAAACACCAAATTAATCGTCTAAAATACGAAATATAGTTGAGGATCGAGGTCTTAGTCAAATGATGACCGCCTAACCAGCTGCGGATCGTGAAGAAACGAACGAACATAACACAACTATGTGTCAAATGGCCTGGACGCTTGACTTCCAGCCTTCAGCTAAAAAAGGCGACTTAAACAATAAAGTTCAACATCTAGTTCAATCTTGAGTAAAGGATGCTGCAGGCCAATGATTTTGGGAAACTATTTACTGCGAAGTCCTGTATTATAGATATATGTATGAAAGACTAATTTCTTATGTGAAAATCTAGTGTGGCCGTATCTACCCTGCAAGGAAGTTGTCTCATAAGACATTCTGAAAACCAGTGGGATTACCCACTGGAAGAGAGACGTACTGGAGAATTGAATAATCAGTAAATTAACCTAGGATTACTGTGTAGTGCATATTGAACCTTTGAACTTTTGTTTCAACTCACCCACCCAATTTTCGGTGCTACGTCACTTCACTTCACTGCACTTTACTTCTTGTACATTTTGACACTTGCACGTCTGCTCCCTCGCTGTACTCTTCTACAAGCACACTCTTCGAGCTCGCTACTCCTCTGAGTTAGGATAAGTTGTAAACCTTTTTATATTATTAAATTCTAATCACATTCGTTATAAATATACTTTTGTTTACAAGCACGTTGCGAATCCTCTTTCTTTCTGCTTTTCACTTGTGCCTGGGTACTTGCAGGATAGGCAGAGTACTGATTAGGACTAAGGTAAAAGAAGTTGGACTTTTTGTAAGTGTGATCGGCAAACTCGCCTAAGGATAAAGTCCCTCACTTGCAACTGTGTCGACATTCGTTGCACTCTCTCAAGACAACCAGAGAAGAGGACTCATTAGACTTCCATTTGTTTTTCTACGCGTTCCCAGTTGCAAATGAAATTGTCTTTTACATCAGAACGACCCTGGAAGACGACAGAGATGTTCGCATTACATTAGGAAAGTGTACAGCAGCAATTTTAAAGAGTACTTCAGTTCCAAGATTACAGTCTATTTCTGCTTTTTCTGGCTTTACACCTGTTCGCAACGATGTGGGGAAAAAATGAATTCCTTCAAGTACCAATTAGGCATTTTATCTGATTCCATTACAGCAGTATGTGCATGTTTTTTGGCTAACGTAATCGCAGGAGGTTCCCAGTGATCAAGTATCTATCGATGGAGGCATGTTAATTTCAGACTGGGCTCTGAAATGACAGGATCCACTGATTTTAATGTGTTCAGAAATAAAATGTGGGTAGGACTACTGTTTGTTCAGGAGGAAAGTTCCCTGCAGATCTTTACTTTCTCTCTCCAAACAAACAGGGAATTTCTTTGATCTAAGTGAGTAGAGCTCCTGTGATTCCAAAACTCTTCAATTTATATACAGTCCTGCATGTGGCATTTTCTCGGACGCCTTGCTAGAACTCTTGAAGACAATGTTCACTGATTTCCAGCTACCCCTATAATTGACTCAGCCTTCTCTTCATGTGAAGTTTCCGAGGTAGTGGGGATCACCCCGTTGACCATGCTGTACATTGGATAAAACGTAATTTTCTAAGAGAACCATGGTAGGTATATCCAATGTTGTTTTAAGCTCTGAATTGAGTTACTGACCAGGAGAATCGCTCTGTAGTTTGAAGAGTAATGACTTAATATCTCCGTGTGGATCAAGTTTACTACTTCATCCTTACAGTCATGCAGTGATACTCCTGGTGATATGGGTAGTCTGAAGATAACATTACTTGGCAGGCCGTGTGGGTAGTGACCTTACTAAGGAAACTTACTTGAAGGTTCCATTTGCAGGTCCCACTAATTTCCATTATCATGCTGCCAGAGCTGATTCCGATGGTGGTGTGAAGACTCTATGGGGCATTTTGTGTTCAGCGATTTGCGCACGAAAATAATTTCTGAAGTTTTTTCATTTCATTTTGAGCAACATGCACTTGAAATTTCACCTATGACTAACCAATGAATGAAATAGCTCTGTTCCATCCCGATTACTCTCAGAGTGTTAATAAGCATTCTGGTGCTTGTATTCACCCTTACCTAGATCACAAATCTTTCTACTTTACCATAAGGGGCACTCTTTTTACCCCTGGTAGTAACCAGTACGACATAGGATTAAACTATATCTTTCAGCTTCCATATGGGCCTCTAGGTCGACGTTAGGTAGTTAGATAAGGCCATGTATCCAAAGATTAATCACTTATTTCTATGCGCCATAGATGGTAGACGACGTTTATTTAATAACAATGGAAGAAAATAGTGTCCTAGTTTGAGGATGCATCCGATGATATTTTGGAACAGAGCCAGTACATGAAAATCTACCAGGCTTATAATCGAAGGAACTGTTTAATAACGCCAACGCAGAGAGTGTGTTGAAACCACCAGCCATCAGATATTGACATTTTGATATCCACGGGCCTACTTTCCTGGTGCGAAGTCATTGTTGCGGTTACGTGGACCACTTGTCTCCTTAACTTCAGTTTACAGCGCAAATGTTAGCGAAACCCACTTTCATGTGCAAGCATCACGATTTTTGTATAGCTAGGTTCTACTTGAAAGGGATGAACAGTCCATTGCTTCTGTATGCAGTCACGTTCTGTGAAGTATTCTCACTGCCACTAATTCCAGATGATAGTCATGATTCCACATAGGATTTCTTGAAGTCAGGCTGACACCAGTGCTCACTTAATTTCTGTAGCGCACTCTAGGTATTCGTACGAAATACAGTCAGTTTGGTCTGATTCCCCAATGCCTAAGCGCCAAGGGTCTGACCATCAACGAGCTTCACACTATTAAAACCCTAAGGCCCCTAATAACAAGATATTTCTCGCCAATGAGACGCCTCTTATTTAATTTATTTCAGTAGAAACTTATTTCTTTTATCTTATTTATTTTTGATGACAGCTTGATTCCACACCGTATATTTAGTACAAGTATGGAATTTACAGCATGTGATACCGGTAGCCGAGATTTTGCAGGCCGACCATCGATATCATGTGTGCGTCGTTAGGGAATCGAACCTCGGACCATTTGCATGGTCGGCGAGAGTCCCAACCACTGTGCCCCTCATTCTCTGAGGTTTACTAGGCATAGATCTGTTAGCATATCGATATCTTATCTATTAAGGATACATATGTCCCTCAGATTTATTTTCATATCAGTCCTAGAATTTGCAGCGATTTACTGCACAGTCAACCTTTTCGCTGATGCAGTACAGACTACTTCCTCAGACAGGAACTTGTCTACAATAGGCTGGTGGAAAATATATTAGAAACTGATTTATTCATCTTCCTGACGAAGAAATAAGGTTCATTGTGATTCCCACTTGCGATTTAAAGCATTGCTTTCTTATCTTATGGAAAAGGAGAGACTTTAATTTCTTGGACCACGTATACCGAAATCTCGCGACTTATTTGACTTCAGTGGTAACTGCTTTTTATCCTCTTGACGGTCTTTTATCCAAACCTGATAAGAACTGATGCAACTAAGAGGCTTTTTATTCTCAATTAAAATGCCTGAATCTGAAAGTGAAATTTGATTTCACGGCTGTGACGCGCGTAATTAGAAGGTTCCGTTACCGCCATCAATAGTTGCGGTGTACAGTTAGATTGTTAGTTTCCTTTTTGTATAATTGCTGCTGGACGATTTTACCATTTGACACTGAGTGTTTGGCATTCCTGAATCACTTTATTTGGTAGCATCAAACTTAAATACCACGTAGTTTAGAGTTCACATTGAAGGCAAGCTAACAGTAATGTTTTGCTTCGAAATTCATTATTCGTATGAACTCTTACAAATAATGTAATTTGAGTGCTAAAATTACAATAGCAACTAAGTTGAAATTCAAGCATTGAAAGAATGAAGTACACTAATCTCTTGGGAAAGGCGATTTTGAAGTATAAGTTACATGTATTTATGAATAAAATGGCATGAAGCTGTTACACAGGGTATCATTCTTTCATATGTGAGAAAAATGCCTCTCGATTTGGGATTGAACAGATCGTTGCGTCAGTAGAACAATAAAAACGTATTCTGTACATATATTCGTCTGTCTTCTAACCATCACTTCTCCACCACTTACTGTGGTTGTCGCGCTTGAATGCCGCAGTGACTCAACAAGCTAAACTAGCTGGGACTCATGTTCTTGCAGGTCCTACCATGTCAGGAAGGTTGTTTGGATAGCGGTTATACTAAAAGCAGTTACCATGGGGTACATGGGCTCCAGAATCCAGTGGGATCAAATGGCATATGAACCCATATGGGTTACCGGCAACTATGGGAATGCTGACGCTGCTCCTCTGCCTTGTGGATTAGACTCCAAGTCAAAGGCTCGGGGGTGGTCCCTTAATAAAACCACCTGCGTCAGTGTGGGCGCTCGGACAGTATCTCAACCCTCACACAACAAATGAAGTATGGCGCATCTTTCTTGTTGCCATATTGTACCAAGCTTCTTCTGCGTTTAAATAAAAATAATAAATAATAACCCTGACTCTGAACTCCATAAACTGGCCCTGATCCTACTCGAACAAACACTGACTTTCCTCATATTAGATTGACTTAACCCTAACCTATCGTTTGCCTAAACTTTAACTTAATCTTTCCTAAACCTAACCTAAAACTCACCAAATATCACTTCTAATATCATGAGCATTGTGTTATACACCAAGTCTCACTAACTCGGTCACTAAGCGTCACAAAGTCGTTGGTGAGATCGCATTCTTTTGGTGCTTAATGTTCAACTTGGCTTTAATAGTCTGTGTGGGGCTTAAAAACGGTAAAACTGCATGGTATAGCTTAATCTGTATATTTGTCATCATCGTGATCACCGGAATAAAATTATCCTATTCAATATTAGCTGTTGATTGTGGATATCTAAGATGTTAATTTCAGTAAACAATCACTTAGTCCACATAACGACTTGCCACACTTGAGCAACTTTTAAATATCAACAATGCTCTTAATGAAAACTGTCTACACCGAGTGTATTCTGTGTTAAGAAAATGTCTTTATATTTTCCTGGCAATACATGGGTGGAGTAACTTCTAACTTTCTAGATACTTTTACTGTTTATGTTTTTTTAGGTGAATCAAGCTTATCAGAACCCGAAAGAAATGAACCGAGGATTATCTGATCCTAACGCCAAGTAATTCTTTCTCTGTTAAAACTGAAAGCTTGTTTAGAAATCACATACAAGCAAAAGATTCAGTCCTTTGTAATGAAATCTCTACATCACTAAGTGAATTTAAGTACGTTATTAGCTTTGAAAGTTATTCAAAACAAATTTTAACAGAAAGTATTTAGCTGAACAAAAAAAGCATCGAGAGGAGTTATCTGCTTTATCCTATGATCATTTAATTAATTTACGTGATGAATTGAAGAGCTTACATCAGTTAGTGTCTTCATCAATATCTGGTCTACGTCACACAGCTACGGCTATTTCACGCTTAAAAACAGATGTGTTAAAAGTATATAAAATAATAGCTTAATCATATAAATGACTTTTTTTCAAAGGAAGAGAAAAATGCTGAAATAGCGCATAAAACATCTGATCATGGATTAAGTGGTAAAGGGGATAGTAGTGAAATATCAAGGTAAGTCAGATTGAAATTATGCCTAGGGATTTTTTTAGTTATTTTATGAAAAAAATCTCTGATTTCGATACAAGAATTCGTCTATATAAAAAAGAATTAGAAGTATTTGAAGAGAATGTTTATTCACAACAGTTAAACCCATTGACTCCACGAGGTAAAACATATGAAAATTCCTAATCTATGTATCTAAGATCTTCTCAATGTCTTACAACGAATGGATCATGATTTTATTGGCCTGGCTGCTCAGTTATACACTGTTTATGAGAATATGAAAGTATGTTTAAAGCGTCCAATATTGTTCCTGATGTTATTTTCTTGCTATGGATTATATTTCTATTGATTATGTAATTGATCGGATTGCGTCGGCGGTATAGCGGTTAGAACGCTCGCCGACCATACACATGGTCCGGGGTTCGATCCCCGGCCGACGCACTCCTTCGCCTCACTAATCCAGAAACAAAGCTGGTAAAGAGGAAAGGTTGAGCACGAGGCTAGCAACCCCATCCTGTAAAATAAACACTGCTACAGAAACTTCAAGCCACTAGCTTGAGGCCTTATGTTCCACTGGGGAACGTGAAGGAAAAAAATAAGTAACTGTCACCGAGATGTTTATAATATCTAGAAACAGACTGTTAATTATTTAGGATCTGGCAGAACTTATCAAAACTAGATTTTATACTTGTTGCTAATCAGAAGAACTAAACTACATTGAGAGGAGCCTGTTTTTTATGAGAGGCGGTTACTTGTTTGAGTTAGAAGTGGACTCAGAAAAACTAATAGGGTTAACAATACCTTGAGTAGCGCTATTGCATGGATTATGTTGAATGGTGCCACTTGTACCCAGGAAACTAAGAATTTATAACAATTTTCAAATATTTTTTTAAGATTTTGTGCGAGTGTCTCGGTGCTACTTAATTTCAAATTCATCCATAGAGTTTTTAGCACATCTAAAAAAAGAAACATTTCAACAAAAACTCAAATGCATTATCCTTCCCTTCACTGTAGGTTAAATGCTCTCAAAATTCCGAGTCTTATTTTATCGGTCGAGGTAGCTAGGACACATGTCGTGCATGGTGTGTCATCGCCTCTCTTGTCTAGCAATGCTAGCTGGCGTAGGGTTAGTTTAGAAAGAACGTAGGGGTAGTGAATCAAAGTGTGGTATAAATCCATGAAGTTTAACTGCTGGTTTGATAGGGAGGTGCAGACTGTCCTCTCAGGGGTCCTGAAGACTTTAAAAACCAATGGTTTAAGACTTTTGGAGATAGGATTCAATGGCAAAGATACATTTACTCTTTATGAACTCCCAGATCCATTAAGTTCCCATTTTCCTCCATGTAATTAATCCTTCTCTTGTACATGTTTGCTCGTTATAATTCCTTTCAATATTTCCTCTGCGTGCTATGTTGAATGTGGTAACTTGGACTGCTGCACCTCTCTACGTAGAACATTGGACAAAACTTAATTCGGTGTTCTAAGTTATCACTTGTTTCTTTTTAATTTCTTAATAGACACTAAAAGCAGACTACTTAAAACAATATCGTATTCATTATGGATCAGCTCGTAATCCTTTTGGTGATAATGATGATGATTTATATTTCAAGAGTGAAGGAGAAGTTGACAATTTATTCGGTACAAGTGTAACTAAGGGGAAAAAAGGCTCATCTTTTGTAACACCCTATGGTCCTTCACCATTTCCAACATCTGATATATCTGTTACATCAAATTCTACTATTGGTGGTACAGAGAAAACTACAGTCGTTCCATCCACTTCTGTTATTTCATCAAGTAATCCACAATTAGGTCAACAATTTGGAGCTTCTACACTTAGTAGTCAACCTGGTAGGTTTGTTTGAATCCATACACAATTTGTGAATGATTAGTACCTATATGGTTGAGCTTTTGTCCAACATTGAAACGTATACAGACTAATATTACTTTAATGTTAGATTAACTTACCTTTGAAATTATCATAAACAGTAGTTTTTGTCAGTGTACTCATGATGGCTGTGTTATTTGAAAGTACTCAGGGAGCTTTCCTTTTTCATCGCCTTCCTCGATGGGCAATGTTAGCTGATATAGGTTCAGGCTGGAAAAGAGCCAAAGGCGGTCAAACCAAAACATGGCTTCACCAGTCAATGAAATCCACAACAGTTAGTCTAAGCCACGTAGGAAGATGTAGACTTCCTGGTTGGGATCCTCGGGACGGTAAAAACCAATGGCTGGAGACAATTGGTGATATGGCTCAAAATCGTTGTCAATGACTTATGATTTCTAATGAAACTATATTGTTCTTCGTTATTAATATTCCTTTGTCTCACATCTCTGTTTACTGTCTCTAATATGCATTTCTTCTACTTTCTTCTGTTGCTTTGTGTGCTACAAGGAGGGAGTGTGGCGACTTGAACTGCTGCACATCAGTGCAAAGTTCTATGTCGAAAACAGACAGACAAAACAGCGCAGGGAGCTTTCCTTTTCTGAATGATAAATACATACGTATCCACTGCATAACCGCGCTTAGTGCAGAAGCTTATTGGGAAGATTTAACTTTCTAAGCGTATCTAATAAGGCTTTAGAAGCATTCGAAACTTCACTACCATACAAAAGTATAAACAAATAAAACATTACTGTACCAAGGCATTCCAAAATGCTTCTGAATCCAGTTAATACTGTGTGGTTTTTCGATACTTTGAAGGAGATATTTTTGGATTTTCACTTTGTATTGAGTGAATAGTTATGAGTTCTTAGTTGTTGTTTTTATTTTTCTTAGCTTTCCTTTTGGACAGTAGGTTTTTGTAGGGATTTGGATCGTCACAAATCAATATCATTTAGAGGTCATTGAAAACCAGGTAGCTTTGGACAGCTATTTCACCCTATTTGGGGGCTTCTCAGTAGTGAGCACCCAATCCCAATAAAAACTCACCTGAATATATCAATCTTCAGCCCATTGGTGGCTACTGTATAAATGTCCTGAAGCTTTTCTAATGAGAAGCCGCGGCCAGTAGGCTCCATTATTTCGAGTACAAAGTGAATACTCATCGACGGCACTGATTCCAACGTTGGCGTTACGTAGCAAAATAACAGAAGTTGGAATTTGTGGGTCATTGTATTCCATCCTAATTGGATGCATGATCAACGAGCTTAATCTCGTAACCTGGAGGTCTCTCGTTCCATCTGTAATGGGATGGTGAGTGTGTACTTAAATAGACAGTCCCGAACTAGGACAAAACAGCTGTCCACTTCTCCTTGGCTTTCATTACTTTCCAACTAATGTTGGTTCATGATAAAATATTCAATTGAAATTATTCCTTCTCGCCGGTGAAGAATCTTAAATCATTGTTGATTTGTATTGTGTAGTTTACGGCATATCTGAGAAAAAATCCCAGAATTATAGAACCTGTTATATCAGTTGACATACTGGCTCCTTGTACAGACGCTTCGATGATGTGTGAAGTGTAAAATGATGTTATTTTCGCTGACGGTGACTACTCTAGCAGTAAAACTCGGGAATTGTATTTTGTCCTATTTAGGATTCGTGCGTTGGGTGTACGTGCATCCCAGTGAATGATGGTGTTTCTCACTGAGACTCAAACGCTGAACTTATTGTTCCAAACGCCAAAGCGGAAAATAGAAGTTCACTTCAATAGCAATAACAAATGATACTTGTTGCACAAGATGTGGCTCTTATGGATAACACTATCGTCTGAAACAGTGGGTGAAGGGTTTGAGTCTCAATAGAAATACCACAACCTACTGAGATGCGGACAAGTGCAGGTGACGAGTCCCCAATAAGAGGGATTGTGCTAAGTCGAGTTTTTTGCGAAAAAATTGAATCCTTACTTATTATGTGAAGGTGACTCTCATTTACTTTGAGTCTATAATACACAGATTTATTCGTTAAGAATGTAAGTAAATTTGTACTATGCATTTTTAATTATGTGGAATAAATATTTTATCTAACTCAAGATTTCTTTATACTGCCAACCCACTAATTGATCTTCAAGTTTTGGTTTGGAGGGCTTTGATTGATATAAAGTTTATCACTAAATGGTCTCAATTAGAAAAGCATTGAAGTCCATTAAGTTGGGTGTGAAGATAAATGATTGCCGATGATATTGGCTGGCAATCGATAATCGGTAGAAGTTACAATTCATGGACCAAGTGGTTGAACAGTCGATAATCTCATCTTGTAACCTGAAGCTCCTGGGTTCGCCCCTTGTTGGTGTGGAGTCATGAGTGCGTACTGTTGAAGAGTCCCGAACAAGGGATAAACTGTTTTCAAGTGGTTCTCTACGTGAAGTCAGTTCTTGATCACAAGTGAAATCATGAACTGATTGATGCTTTAACACATTAACTTATGTAGTGTCTGTCTATCTGTTTTCGACATAGAACCTTGCACAAATGTGCGGCATTTCAAGTCGCCACACTCCCTCCTTGTAGCACACAAAGCAACAGAAGAAAGTAGAAGAAATGCATATTAGAGACAGTAAACAGAGATGTGAGACAAAGGAATATTAATAACGAAGAACAATATAGTTTCATTGGAAATCATAAGTCACAAATTCCACTTCATGGATGAAGAGTACTAACGCGTACTTTATTGTCTAAAGGTGGATAGTTTAACTCGTTGTGTAGTAATCCAAGTATGACCACCTAAGTTACTAAGCCACATCACATCTGTAACTGTTTTTTTTTAAATATTTTAATGTAATTGACGTCTCACCCTATTTTTTTATTGTCATATTTTAGCATCGTCTTTTCTTGGACAATCTGGAGCCTTGAGTACTGCTACATCGAATGCAAATGTTGCATCATCAACAGGTCTTGTAAAGCCAACCTTTGGATTCTCATCCACTACTACAAGTTTACCATTGTTTGGTCAAACTAGTGGTATAGGTTCACTAGGCGGTAGTGGACTTACCAACACTATTGCTGGTGGTAGTATCGGAGATAGTCTATTTGGAAAGAGACTAGCATCATGACGAAGGGTATATAGAAACTGTATAATTTCTCTGTTGTACACTTTCTACTAATTTCAACTTCAATATATTTGTGTATTACAATACTCATTGTATATAAGTTTTTTTTTAATAAGAATTATTATTGTGTAAAGCATAAAAGTGTTCTAACATCATTTGCTTCAATAATACATACGCAAAAGCCCTAGACTAGTGAATTCTAATTGCAAAAATATTCATTTAGACATCTATAAAACACAAAAATGATTGAGCAAAGAATATTCTTTTCGATAAATTCCTCTTCTGACTCTACAATTATATATATATATATATATATATAGAATATTCTAGATTAGTAGTCAATAACAATATTTGCGTTTTTTTAAATAATATTGATTTGTCAATTAAGATCAATGCAATTACAGTTCATTAAACATGCATAAATTATAATAGTAATAAAGATATAATAGCGAATAGAATATCAAATAAAATAAGGGAAATTTCCACAAAAATTAAGAATCATTCAAACCTAGATGGCCAAGGTAAGGATAATGTCTGAACTAGCTTCTTTTGGGCACACAAATTAGACCTCTTAATGTGGATCCCTACAGCCTCAGCAGTATTTAGTAAACGGACATTGAAGGCAAAATTGAGATTCGTAGGTATGCGGTAAATGACTCTGAAAGCCTGGTTAACATCAATCTTATGTTCTGTATCCACAAGATGAGATAGGATAGCTCTACGAATAGATTTTGTTTGTCCTTTACTTAACCACCACTAAGCAGCGTGCTGTTCGGAAATCCTACAAGAAACACGCCTAATTGTACGACCTATGCAACTAACTGGCTCATTCCACAGGAGCAGTTAAATAGGTAGATACACATGGAAGAGGCGAAATTAAGTAGTTTATCTTTTACTCTCGAATGCAAAATAGGGTTGAGTGGTTTTAAAGCTACAGCGTAATTCGGCAGCAGGGAATGCTCTTTTTTTGCCGCATTTCCAAGGCGCTGTGTTAGTATCTAGCTGGTGTTGTCCCCAAGGAACTTCATTTGTAAGAATAAGGCCTTTTCTAATTCTAATTGCTTTCAGCGAACATGCAAGTGTAAGTTAAAATTCAATAGGAATAAGTTGGAAGTGAATTAGGATAAGAATTGTTGTACTTATCTGGTAAGTTATATGTAGAGGATTTTTACCAGGTTGTTTTGTAGTTATTAAATATCAAGATCGTTTTCAATGTACTGTGCACTGTAAAGATAATATTAGCAGCGGTGGGGGTGGATGGTGTTCTTCACAAGAGTGAAAGGACGAGTGCGAACGTCGTCGGAGCTTACATTCGAACTGATGAACATGTAGATCTACCTAATGGTGTTGGAGTACCCTAATTCCAAATCTACGGTGTACATCAGTCTGAGAATCCGGAAACATCAGTTGGCGAATGAACCAGGAAACTACAGGAACCAAGATCCACTGCTTTGTGGATTGGAATTCAGGTCAAAGCCTTGCCCCTTAAGACAACTACCTGTTTCGATCGGGGCATCCGACGAATATCCCAGCTCTCACACAAACTATGCGGCGTATAATATACGAAGTTCATGTTTTAACAAAGGAATGAATTAAAATGTTTCACATCTTCCCCTTAAGTTCAACAGTCAAGAATATATTTCTATGGCCACGATACTGATGTAGCGATATGCAACGAAATTTTACGATAAAGTGGAAATACAACCTTCTAAAACAGTTATTTGATTCAGAATTAGACAGAGAGACTATCTCCATCCCACAAGATAATATTCAAGATTCACGAATGTGTAGGAGGAAAACAGCAAAGTGAAACTGACTAAAATCTCAGTCTTCCATGATTGTACGCATATTGACACCTGCATAACAAGTGATGGGGAAACAGGCATAAAATGGACTCACAAAAAACTTGGAGGATATGGAATTCGCCGATGATATATGTCTGATGTCCCACAAACTGGAAGATATGCAAGTGAAAAGCAACAAGTTGTCAGAAGAAGCATCAAAGATAGGACTTCAGATGAACAAAGAGAAAACAGAGGTGATGAAGATTCCTGGCCAACAGCAACAACAACATACAGCATAAACGGGAGGAACCTGAAAGAAACAACCTCCTTCACCTACCTGGGAAGCAACGTTCCAACTATAGGCGGACGGAACTGACGAGGATATCAAAGTCAGAATCGGAAAAGCAAGACACCCTCTCATTACTTTTAAGTCTGTGTGGAGGTCAGCAGCACTCAGGATCAAAAATAAGCTCCGGATCTTCAACTCCAATGTGAAGTCAGTCCTACTCCAATGTGAAATTAGTGCTACTATACGGATCAGAGATGTGGTGCGTCATAAAGAGCACCTCAAACAAACCACAGACCTTCATCAACAGTTGTCTTCGCTCAATACTCAAGATCAGATGGCCAGAAAAGATCAGCAACAGGGATCTCTGGGAGCGAACCAACCTGGAACCGATTGTGAAACAAATAAGCAGGAAGAAATGGAGATGGATTGGCCACACTCTGAGAAAACAATCCATCAAGTGACATCACTGGACAAGCCGTCGAGTGGAACCCGAAAGGGAAGCGGCGAGTTGGTCGCCCAAAGGTGACTTGGAGGAGGTCATGTGAGGAGGAGATGAAAGCATGTGGGCAGACTTGGAGCCAGGTGAAAACTGTAGCAGAGAACTGAAGGCAATGGAGACTTGTGACTGAAGCCCTATGTTCCTCTAGGAATTAAAGGAATAAATAATAATAACAGCTGATATCGGTGTTAAATTTTTATCAAGTATGTATCACACGCAAGACCTATTACAGACACTGACCGAACACAAATTGAAATAGTACCGTTTTGTCGAAGTCTGTTTTGTGATGAACATCACCGTGGTCCAAAAAAAATAAGTAGCTCTCCTTTACATGTTAGGACAAAAGAAAACAGTAAGATTACGTGGTTAAAGGGAGAATGAGTATTTGTCTAACTGCGAAATCTGAATTTTTTTAAAATTACCAACTCATTATTAGAAGTTTTTGAGGAGTTGTGTAATCACAGCGCATCCTTGAAGTGTTTGTTTTGAAAAGACTTTAATTTACGATTGGAGAAGGAAGCAGTTTATATTATATAGCCGACAGTGACAGCGAACAGTAATAGATGGATACAAGTAAACGCAGCATTAGTTCATTATAAAGGCGACTATTAGGGGAAGCGATTTACAAAAATGGATCTATATTAGTCTTTCTAGGCGACTTAACAGAACAGTCAAACTTGCCGAAAGCCAAAAAAACTTTGATAAGACTGCCAAAATTTCAGCCAAATGTACATGGTTTGATTAGCTATGAGAAACAAACCGATGTGAACTATTTGATTTCATAAGATGTATGGGATTCAAGGTGGTACCTAAGGAGAATCTAGTTTCTTGGGTGTGGCCTAAGGGTAACGAAAGTTTTGCAACTACACTGTTTGGTTTAGAGAACACAACTACAGATAAACACCTGGGCTACAAATCTCCCCAAGGATTTCAGCACCTGATTTTTTAACCCCTTTGTGTTCTGAGGGGGCACAAGGCTTCTACAAGTTCATCCGAATTGCATCCTCCTCTCTGGAGTCCTTTTTACCTGGCCCATAAACTCTCAGCTCCTCCTCCATATCACTCTCGGACACACACCCAACTCTTCGTTTTCCACTCGAGGGCCTGGCGTGTGGTATCACTCAACGGTCTCCTCAGCGTATTTCTAATCTATCTCTATTTCCTTCTAAATATATGCTGAACAATAGGTTCTTGGTGCTAATTCTTTCTGACCATCTAATCCTCAGTCTGAAGCGAGGGCAGCTGTTGATAGAAGTCTGCAGCCTGTTAGAAATGTTTTTCGTGACGCGCTAAACTCCTGACCTAGATTTTGACATTTCTAGTAGCGATGGTGTTGCTTCTATTTTTTAGGTAGAGGTGGGTTGCTAGCTTCACAACCCGACCTCCCTTTTCTCCCAGGTTTACTACGGAGCAGTGTACTTAGAATGTTACCTAGCCATTAACACAGTGTCACTTATCTAATTTGGAATTATATTTTATTACAGTCCTAATAATGGTTTCTAAATTTGCGATTTTGATGCTACTCGTCATTGATGGACTGTTTATATTATAAATGTTGAATGAAATGAGCGCGCTGAACTGTTTTTCTATGTGAGCTCACTTGTAGTACCTCGTAGATTCTTCCCAATTACTTACAGTCTAAACAATTTCAAAATATGTAAATTACAAAAGAAGATGTTGAACATACTTTTATCATGGTGGCATCGAGTTATGTGTAAAAAGCCCTAAGTCTGGAGTGTTGTGAGTAGTTAAACTACTTAGGGTTAAAAGCACTAAGTAATTTAGCATGGTGGAGCTGCCAGCGATTAACGTGAGTATATTCGTCGGGTGTAGTGGTGAGGAGGCAGGATTCTGCTTCACTCGGTCGACCGTCTGTTTATCGACTAGACAGCTTAATGAAATTGTATGTGAGTGTTGAATGATGCCTTTGCGGTGGGTTGCCCGATCCGAGGCTTGAGTGTGGGATGTGTTTGATTAAAAACGCTCCCGCGCCAGGAGTCGAACTAAAACCGCTTGGAATTGTTAATCTTGCGATCAATCTTCTATCTTTTCCATGTTTACTACTGGCTAAACAAACTAGGTAGTATTTAAGAAGTGTGTTCGACGGGAATCGAACTTGGACGGCTTGTCAAAGCTAAAAAGTCACTCTGATGATGATTTACTAATTCTAAGTCTTTACAAGTATACATTGTTACTTGAATTTTTTTGTATTGTTACTTTATTTTTGTGCGTCAAAGTTTCTCTAGCAGTTTGCTAGCTTTGTAGAGTCACTAGCCTCACGCCCAACCCTCCTCCCTCTTTACCCGGGCTTGGGACCGGCTAGGAAACTAGCAAGCTAGCTAACTAGATGAAAAGGGAGATGAGAGATTATGGGCAATCGTGGACCCATCTGAAGAGGACGGTAGAAAGTAGAACAAAGTAAAGATGTGTTGTTGAAGCCAGCCATATGTTCCACTTGGAACCCAAGGGAATAATAATAATAAGTATACATTAAATCGACCTATGTTTTGATGACATAGAAACAAAGACTAAAATATCAACAACTGTATTATAATAAAATAACAATTAATGTACAACAGGATTTAAAGGTTCAGCTCGTAGTTGTGTAAAATCGATTCGTCTATCCAAATCCTCGTCGACTTCACCAACTAAAGCTCTACAGAAGAAAACAAAGAATAGACACATAAGCGCATATACTAAGTTTAGTGTATGAAGAAAGAAATGTACGTGTATTACATCATAAAGACATAGATATGAGTGCAATCTACGCTTCACAGTAACGATATTTTTGTTTAAAAAATAATAAAATAAAGGTGTTATGTACTGCTGCTGAGTGGTTAATAGTAGTTTTCCCCGTCGCCAATTATGTTATGTACTCGTCGAGTAGTTAATAGTCCTGACGCGGAAAGAGGGAAATCAGAAGACCACCAGGTTTACGATTATACTTGTATTTTTCAGACAAGGAAAATAAATGTCACACAAATGTGTGAATGGAAGGGTAACGTAGTGTACGAAAACGTGGGAACAAGTATTCAGTACAAAAGTATATTTGGGAAGTTGTATTAGCACCAACGGACTGATTGGCGATGAAATCTCAGCACGGATCCGAAAAGCTCGAGCTGCTTTCGCTGACTTACACCATCTCTGGCGTAGGCGTGACATCCGGTTATCAACCAAGGGACGTGTGTACTGCTCATCAGTTCGCTCCGTCCTTCTCTATGGCTCTGAAACATGGCCAATACGAGTTGAAGACATGAAAAGGTTGACTGCTTTCGACCATAGATGTCTGCGATCTCTGTCTTACGTTAGGTGGTTTAACAAGGTAAGTAATGTTGACGTTAGGCGTAGAGTGTTGGGCAAAGAGGGAAAATCAATCGACGAGGCTATAAAGTTACACAGACTAAGATGGCTAGGTCACGTGCTGCGCATGCCTAACCACCCCCTCCCCCGACGGGCATTGCTAGCTGATATAGGTGCAGGTTGGAAAAGAGCCAGTGGTGGCCAAACAAAAACATGGCATCAATCCATGAAATCCTTGACAGTTAAACTGAGTCAGGTAGGGAGATGCAGACTCCCGGGTTGGGGCCCTCGGGACTCTAGGAATCAATGGCTGGAGACAATAGGTGACATGGCTCAAAATCGTTGTCAATGGCGCAGATGTATTCAGTCTCTGTAATCTTTCATATTCCTTTCTACCATTACCCATTCTGTTTCACTCTTATACTTGTCAGACTCTATTGATTCTCTTCACTCATCTTCTTGTCTACCTCTATGTGCTATTTGGAACGTGGCAACTCGAACTGCTGCCCTTCGGTGCCAAGTTCTATGTTGAATCCAGACAGACAGACAAAAGTATATATGAAAATGACTAATACACATGAACCAATAAATAGACAGTCTTAACATGATTGGTTGTAATGTCATGTGACAACAAGGTCATACATTGTTTATTTAGTTAGAGGACAGACAAAATCATATTGTCAGTTATAATGAAATATCGATCCATATACACAGCAAAATATAATAGACTGTCAAAAAAAACACACATCATGTGGATACATATCAAAAGGAAATAATAACACTTACACATTTTGTCCACGGATAATGAATAAACCCAATGGGACTTGTTCAACACCTTCAGTTGGACTGAATACTCTTTCATGACTATCTTTAATGACAAGGTTTACAACATTGTCGAAGCCTTTTAGAGTACCCTATTTTTAAAAAATGATAAAAATAAATAAAGAGCAAATTACATCAACACTTTACCAATTAACTGAGATTTCAATTCTGGAAGAAAGAAGGCAAATATTTTTCTTAGAAACTAAATGGGCAGAGAGGGAAGGAATTATACTAATTAGTTTAGCGTAGTAGAGATGCAGTAAGCTATGAGAAGAAGAAGAAGAATACAGCTATTGTTAACCAAAGGGTATCTTTCAGTCTTTAGGTTATGTTTTGTAAGATCGAAATAAATGCTTTCTGTCTTAGTTAACATATCAGCTTCTGGTACCGACGCCTCGACGACAAGAGAAAGTGAACATACTATTTTGGTTGGTCGTAGAAAGCAGTGGAATTTAGGAGGTGTGTTCCTCCCTGGTTGGGACAGACAAGTTTTTTTGTTAGCCATGAACGCATGATCTATGCACGCACTGACATAACTTTGATTCTGATTTGACACTAGTAACTAGTATGATGTGTCTAGTCCTTTCTTTCGTGCAGACTGAATTCAATCAGTCAGGTTTGTAATGTGGCCACCATTCTAGGTAGCTCATCATCACGGTGAACATTGATTTGATGATATTAGATGGTTGAAGGCGATCGGTAGGAAGCCTTGGACCTAGGTTTCGTGCTAGTTGGCACTCGTCAGCAAGGCGTATCTGCAAACTTGACGGAAGTCATGTCCCTTCTGAGATTCGAACCCGCATCACTAAATGACGTAATCAGAGACGTTACCACTGGGCTATTCGGGCTTGCGATTGACCTCCTGTAGGACTGTAGTGGATGGGGAGCTACCTAGAATGGTGGCCACATTACAACCTGACTGACAGAATTTAGTCTGCACGAAAGACAGGAGGACTAGAAACATCACACTAGTTCCTTGTGTGCAATCAAAATATCCATTACAGTCCTACAGGAGGTCAATCGCGAGCCCGAATAGCTCTGACTGCAGCACTGTGTGACGCGCGTTCGAATCTCAGAAGGGACATGAGTTGCTTCAGGTTTACAGATACGCCTTGTTGACGAGTGCCAACTAGCACGAAACCTAGGTCCAAGGCTTCTTACCGATTGCCTCAAACTATCTAATAGGATTTTGATTCGTTTATTTATGACTTACATCCCTGAGGTTTTGTAAATATGATATACCATTTATTTTGTAATAATAAAGTTGACTGACTTCTTTTTTCCATTTCAGTTTGAGGAATATTTTGAAGTGGTGGTAAGTTGATTATAGTGTCATATATGTTTGGAGGTGCATTCTAGTCAAGTTAGACAAGCCTATAAATCATCAGTAATCCTCTGTTATAACAGTTCCTGATGAGACTGAAACCTGATAACTATTGTTTCACTACATCAAAGCGCGTTATTGGACGTAATGTTCAATCTACTGTAGAGTGAAATACATGGAAATGAAGGGTGTTCCTAATTGATTAACAGGGAAAATGTACAGATATGTCAATTTTTAAGTGCTATGCAGATATTTGTATTATATAAAGACGTGGTAAAACAGTACTGTCAAATAATAACAACTCTATACTTACCACAATAGTTCGTCCATCAGAAGTGATTACATTGACAGTACCTACACAGTAGTTGTAGATATTACAGTTAAGAAGAAAATAGCGCTTGTCAAGTTTTTAAAACTGTATGTGTAGAAGTATGCACTGCTTACTAACTAATCGGGAAAAAAAAACAATAGTGTAAGTTTTTCTCATTCCTTGGAGTTTTAATGGCAGTGGTGGTTGCTTTTACGGGGTGAAGCTACACTAGCCTCTCCCACTAAGCCTTCCCTCTTTGTGTTGGCCAAGAATCGAACTGTAGAACACATGCGTGGCAAGCATTCGACCGCTGAAACAGTGACGCAGTCAACAGTAAAAAAAAAGAAAATGAAGCCGATTAAATCGAATACGAGACAATCCAATATAAAAACCAGATGGCACTTATCCTCACCAATATATTGGCTGACTGGGTTAAGCTGGGCTGGTTTCAACGTGGAACTTTGCACAGATGTGCAGCAGTTCGAGTTGCCATACTCCCCCTTGTACCACACAAAGCAAGAGAAGAGAGATTCAAACTACAGAGAAATGATAAACAGAAATATGAGGCATGAAGGATAGTAATACGGAAGAACAGTAGATTTTTTACTGGATATTATAAATTATAAAGAGTGGATGCATCTGCGCCATATCACTAATTGTCTCTAGTCTTCATTCGTTTCGACCATCCCGAGGACCCCAACCAGACTTGCAGTCTATACCTTCCTACGTGACTGACTTTAACTGTTGTAGATTTCATTGACTGATAAACTCATGTTTTGCAATTGATAGTGTTCCCTGAGCCCCTTGGTTTAATTGCGGAGCTTTCATCGTCTTTCTGGACGACATCTTCAGCGCAGTATTTAGGATAAAGTGAAATGATTTAAATTTCTTCATGAGTCTCCCGGTAACCATCTTTAGATATTTATTGACCGTTTTCTATTGATTGGGATTTTAAACTTTCTGATCACCTGATTTACTTTTTATTAGTTGGTATATTTCATCTATATTAACGTGTTTATTAATTGCGTTTTCATTTGAGTACCAGGCCTCTAGGAATTCTCTGGCACATTTGGTGTTTCCTCTGTTTTGACCACCACTAACTAACTCTTTTCCAACCTGATCCTATGTCAGTCAGTTAACATTGCCTGTCGGTCGAAGAAGACGATGGCTAGCCTAGGCATGAGTAACACACATGTCCTAACCATCTCATCTCTTAAGCGGTGCAACTTCACAACTTCATCGACTGATTTCCTTTCCTTACCTAGTACTCGACCGATGCCTAACCTCAATATTGCTCACCTTATTGTACTACTTAACACGAAATTATACTTTGTCATGAATCAGAAGGAGTGTTCGAGATGTTGGGGCACGTTTGTTAATCGATGTTGGTGTATTCATTCTCTGCGCTAGATATGAAAACATAAATAGTTATGCCTTTCTCAATGTCAATAGGGGAAACAAAAGCAACACTAGGAATGCTAAACAATCCTCAGAAATTTATAGGTATTTTCAGATAAATGTGCCATTGACAGACAAACTAGTACAGATCAGAAATATCACGCAACACAAAGATCAAGTCCCATCGATAAATGGTAAGATTATTAAGTCAACAAACTGACCAATACCAGCACAGCTGAATTCAACTTATGAGAGATAAATTCTGAAGAAAGCTAAACCTAGCAAAAGTCACCATTAGTAGTGGGAATGGTAATCCAATTGGCAGGCAATTCTAAAATCTTACTTCATATTGAAGACTTCGCAACCATCTCAAAGAACACCTCAGAACGGTGGATAATCAAAGTAAGTGGTTATTATATTACCAATAATAAGATGGGTACTACGAAGAAAACAATAGGACATGGAATAATTGCTTAACGATTCATCTGTTACATATCCCTATATCATCAATATGGAGAGGATAATGTGAAAACAAAGCAAAAATAATGTCATCGGTAGACTAATAACGGAAAATAAATCAGGGTAGGGTGAGAATTGGCAATAAGGGTGATTTGCTATGACATGAGTGCATACATTAGTCATTAGATAGATGAGGTAGGTATCATTTCTACTGCCCCTATAAACGGCCGAGTGTGAGTACACCTCATTCTACCTCTCGAAATGCTCTCATACGACCACGCGTTTATAGCCTCCGCTAGGTAATTTGTATTGACCACCTTCACCCGGTAGATGTGTTCCCCACAAAATTAAAAGGGTGACTGAGAATACCTTGTTTTTACGACCAGACTGGTGAACATGCAGATCTACCTAAGGGAGCTGCAAAAACCCTGATACCAAACCTATAGTGTACATGGGCTCCACGCATCATAATCGGAAAGAGCTTAGAATGGCAGTCAAATCTTCGCCTCGACTTCACAGACTTTGGAAAAATCTTCTTCGATAGCGTCGACCATGAATTAATTGGGAAACTGTCTTAACATACTTTATAACTGAAATCAGTGTAGATATCTATTGCGTTCAACAAGATCCGACCATGCACATGGCTCGGGATTCGATCCCCGGCCGACTCACTCCTTTACCTCGCTAATAATGCTGGTAAAGAGGAAACGTTGGCCATGAGGTTAGCAACCCCATCCTGTAAAAACAAATACCACTGCTACAGAAACTTCAAACCACTAGCTTGACGCCCTATGTTCCACTGGGAACGTGAAGGGAAAAAGTGTCAAGTTAGTGATTCGATATATGGTACACAGACTTGATGCCTGCTTCACCAGAAGCATTTGCAATAGCCTAACACAGCAGAACTTTGATCAACGGTTGCTCTCACTGAAAACCTAATGGTCAGCAACAGTATGACAACGAACAAGCCTTGGACCTCTCAGTGAACAAAAAAGAAGTTGAAGAGAATGGAGATAAATTGGAAAACGATCAGTGATATCATGTGAGTGAAGCCAGTTGAGTGGAACCCAAAAAAGGTGTCGACGAGTTAGGCATAATGGAGGAAATGAAAGCTTGTGGACAATTGTGGGGTCAGTTAAAAAAAGGCTGCAGTTAACAGAATAAGATGGAAACGAGCTGGTGAAGCCTCCGCATTCTCTACCGGAAACTGCGTCAAATAACACAAAATCTCACCATATTAAGTGTTTAACTCTAGTGGTCAAAATAAGGAGTCTGTCTCTGTTTGTCTGTTTTCGACATAGAACTTTGCACAAATGTGCGCCAGTTCAAGTCGCCACACTCCATGTAGCACGCGAAGCAAGAGAAGAAAGTACAAGAAAAGCATAATAGAGACAGTGAGCAAAGGTGTGAGACAAACGAAAAGTAATAACGAAGAACAAAACAGTTTCATTAGAAATCATAAGTCACTGAGGACGATTTTGAGCCATGTCACCAATTGTTTCCAACCATAGATTTTTACCGTCCCGAGGACCCCAGCCTGGAAGTCTACACCTTCCTACGTGGCTGAGACCAACTGTTGTGGATTTCATTGACTGGTGCCAAGTTTTTGTTTGACCGCCGCTAGCTAAGGAGACAATACAGACCTCCTATCAGTACAAAAAAAATTTTCTTTTTCGTCCATTTTCTTTACATTTTAACACTTAATAAATAAATAAATCATTTTCAACAAAAAAAGGATACGACCGACGTATGCTTCCAGCTCAGATGCCATAGGTTATTACCTAAAAAAAGAACCAAAAAAAGGGGAAAAGGAAATTATTCAACAACAAACAATAAAGTGATTGTTTTCCACAAGTCAACCAACAGAATGAAAAACAATTGTTCTGCAAATTATACAGCAGTTAGCTGTAGGCGAAGACTCTTCATTTATTAGTCAGCGTTATCTTACAATGAATGTACAACTTTGCACTTGCTTATACAAGTTCAAGTTGACAAAACTTCGAAAAAAATGACGTTAAATAAGGGAACAGAAATGTAGTTTTGATGGTGAGACCATCTAGGATAGTCGGCATTTCGCACAAAAGAAAGCATACGTATTAGAGAGCAAGAATTTATAGCTATATATATATATATATATATATATATATATATATATATATATATATATATATATAAGTTGTAGCATAACCCTAACGGTTAGGTGAATTCCACCCATCATCTACATGACTGACTTCATGGATTAGTCCGATGACTATGAGCTTAAATCATATTAGGCCCAACAATTAATGAGGGTTTTCATAGAAGCATTTAGCATGAAAATTCAAAGATGTTTAAAGAGAAATTGTCATAATTACTGGATAGTCTATATGCACTCCACCCTGTCGGGGGTAAGGACAGAAACTCGCCGATGACATTCGCTGGTGCCAGTCGCGAAAAAATCACGAATTCATGCACTGGCCATTGACTTGGATTCCAATGGCTGAATGGTCTACGAGCTTGTCTTGTAACCGAAAGGTCCTGAGTTGGAATTCCGGTGGATGTGTACTGCCGATGAGTTCCGAGTTAGGAAGAAATATATGTCTAATACTCCCTGGCTTCCAAGGACTAGCTAACTCATACCAATCTGTGACCAAGCCTTCAAAAAAAGCATACAAACTAGCATCAAAAAGGATAAACCTATCTTTCCACAGTTATCCTAAGACTTTAATCTCAAGTCTGAAATGAAATTCGTCATGTTGGCTCTAAATTGTGTTTTAGAACTGTAGTGTAAATTATAACGCCTCAGTACTTATGAAGTTAAATGTAGACGCTTAGATCAATTTGAGAAGAATTTAAATGTATTAACAGTTCTAGATTCTTTCAGCTGACATCAATTAGAGAACCACTGGAAGTCCTAGTTTGAGACTCTTCGACGGTACGCGCCCACCGGGGTCCAAATCCAGGACGTACTGATAGTGAGTCCCAAAAAGCTAGGACAAAACAGCTATCCAGTACTCCCAAGTTTTCCAATGGTCCTCTAACTGATGTCAGCATGAAGTCAGCAATGGGAGTTTTACTGGTTATACTACCCGGGGCTTGTTTAAACCTCGATGCTCGAGGCAGCGTTCGAACCCATGACTTACAGGCTTGAATTCAAACAATCGCCTAGACGGATGAGCGAGCCACAACTCAACCAGTAATTGACTACGTCTACTTTGAAATCGAAGCACTCCTTCGACAAGCCTCAAAACAACGAAAAAAGGAAGTCAGATTGCATAAAAACAGCAAGATAATCGACACAGAAACCTATAAGAAGTCATCTTTCTTGTCATAAGGTGTATGTTTGCTTCACAGAGTGTTTTAATAAAGAAAATGAAGCTATAAATTTACTTTATTTTTGATTACAACTTGATTCCACACCGTATGTTTGGTACAAGTATGGAATTTTAAGCAAGGATATCGGTGGCCCAAATTTTGCAGGCCGACCATAGGTATCAGGTGTGTGTCGGCAGGGATCGAACCTCGGACCACGTGCATGGTCAGCAAGAGTCCTAACTATTGTGCCACCGACGCACTTTTAGCTATAAAGTGGCGAGTTAGAATCCTACTTAACCTATTTAGGTTTGACTAAAAGACCGGCATATAAATTAATTCAAGTGGATTAGAGTTACAAGTGCACGGTAATGTGTACTTGGTTGTTGAATAATACAGTAATATTTAACAGACACAAGGACAAGCATACACAACTAAAATGCAAAAACGAAAACATTAATAATATGAGAAGACACAGTTCATTGTATAAAATAAATTTATCTTTATTGCTATGTACATAGATAAAAACACATCAACTAACTAAATTCCTATAAGGTATTAACAAGGTTTTTCTACAGGAGTTTCACGTAGCCATGATTTATACACTTTAATAAATCGATAGAATGATTTGACGGCATATCGTGGGACATAAAATCCACCGGTTTCACTCGCTGGAACAGGGGAACCATCTATCAAAAAAAAAGAAAACAGAAAAGAAAGATAATCAAAAGCTTATAAAATGAAAAAGAGCGTTAAACAAATGAGAAGGTGGTTATTAGATAGTTAGTTGGAGGCTGAAGGCCTTGGATATAGGTTTCGTGATAGTTGACACTCACCAGTCAGCAAGGCGTATCTCTAACCTTGAAGGAGATTCGAACCAGCATCACCCAGTGCTGTAGTCAGAAACGTTATCACTGTGAGCTATTAGGGCTTGTGTTTGACTTCCTATAGGACTGTATGAGATACTTTTATTAGTGAGCCAACTAGAATGGTGGTCACACTACAAACTTGGCTGGTAGAATCCAGTATGCGCCAAACAAAGGACTAGACACCACTCCAGGACAAGTCGGTATGTACAGCATTAGTGGATGATCTTTACGAATACCTCCTCCACAAAACGGAGAGACAGTATAGCCTGGCAAACAGGTTATCTGAAGGAAACACTTTATTGTCCTCACATATCATTTCTGGGGCAGCATTACCTCACCCTCAGATGCCTAACATAGTGTGGGGGACTAACACACAGAAGATAAGGGCCAGGCAACAAATCGTTTATTTAGGAAATTGTTATGTACTGGTCGAGAATTTACTAGTCCTGACGCAAGAAAGACGGAAATCAGAAGACCACTAGGTTTGCGATGATACTTCTATTTTCCAAAACACCAGGAGAATCAAATGTCAAACAAGTGTGTGAGAGCAAAATATAAAATGTCCGAACAAGTGTGTGAACGAATATTCAAAATGAACAAATCAATAGACAGTCTTAACATGATTGGCTAATTATAATGGAATATCGATCCATATATACATGGCAAAATATAACAGACTGTCAAACAAACACACATATTATATGGATACATATCAGAAATCAACACATTTATAGATTTTCATGAACATTATTATATATTATTGTTAGCAGAAAAACACAGTCATCTGATTGGTTGTTTCTCACTGAAAGTTAATCTTTTATTTTTTGTGGCTGTTTCTTGAAGGTCGGATCCTTTATCTGCTAATTGTATCCGCTTACAGCAAGATCTGCTGTGATTGGTTGTTGAATCAGTGTTTGTTCTTATTTTTCTCACGACCAATATCGGGGACGTAAACATTGACGTAAATTACTGTCTACCCAATTTGGCCAGCAGCCGGCTCTCACCAAAGTAGGACCTGTGGGAGCACTAGTTGAAGCCAGTGGACTTCATTGAGCCGTCGAAATATGCTAGTCAGACCACCACATCAATGTCAGCCGTCGGTAAGAACAGGTATCTGGTGCGTTTGTGCAGATATAGCCAATTGGTTTAAAGAACCACCTTCCAGCGAATATATCCAGGGCTTTAGTATCTCTCTACCAACTTCAGCCTACGCAATTGGGTAGTATTATCAGCCACCATACAATAAACGTGACTCAAAGCCTGTTGTGGGGGAAATGAGTACTAACCACCAAATGACTACAACAAAACACCAAACACTCAATTCATATGAACAACACCAACTTACCCTTTGGTATTACACCTTTGACTAGGAGTTCACGAAAAAGAGAAATGTCTATTTCAAGACTGGCTATCAGTCGTCGATCTAATACATATCCATTATATTGATTAGATGATTTATCATTTTTCGATGAGTCTGTTGTTCTTCTTCATCTTCTTCTTCTTGTTTAGACTTGACATTATTTGATCTATTCTGTCTATTCTTCTTCTTCGTCGGTTTGTTTTTGTCTGATAATTCATCTACATGCGCTTGACGCATCATATATTCAATGATGAATGTTTTTAATTCCCAATTAAATTCAGAAGTGGTTAATAAAGTTGAAAAAAATGTAAAACTTGGTCTTATTACAGGTGAATGAATCCGTGAATGGATTGATGTATTCATTATGGCATCATTATTATTAAGCAATTCATTTGATGAACTGATTGATGATGATGTTGATGAAGGCATAGATGCAATTTTAAAAGCGTTTAACAACTTTTCAACTGATTGTACAGTTTCACAACCTCGTGCAAGACAACCCCATGTTATCTAATAAAAGTAGTAATAATGTAAATTTGTATACAATGACAAGAATTAAAACAAAAAAAGTGAATTTGAACAAAGCAAGAACTACAGTTTTAGCAGAATAAAGTGATACCATCTTTTCTTTCGTTGCCTTCTCGTCAGCTGCTTACAGGCCGAAGACATTATTAAATATATCTACAAAACAACTTTAACATACTTGCACAGAGTTCATTTTAGACAAAAATCAATCAATCAATCAATATATGCATATAGTAATCATACACAATGGAAACTTTTCAGCATTTCGCGTTCGAATGAAAGAGAGATGAAAATATCCAGTTACTAGAGCAAAGAAAACTGATAACTGTTTCTTTTTGAACGCACAAATCAGGCTTCAGGTGCTTATGATGATGGCTTCAGCAAACTTAAAAATAACTATTCGTTAAAATTTATTCTGTTTTCCGCGTTAATTGATTATATTAGACTGATATCTTCGGTCTCCGTTGACATGTCAGCTCACTGCTAGTACAGACGCTTCAACGATGTCTGAGGATTACATTTTATTTAGTGGGTGCTGAACAGCGGTCGATTCACGATTCACATTTTATCAACAGGGGAGAACATTTCAGTCCAATAATTAATCAGTCACGAGAAATATGAAATCAACTTAGACAAGTAACAACTGATACCCATTGCAGAACAGATAGCTCTCGTGGTTCAAGTGGTCAACTGGATAACACTTTGGCGTTTGGAACGATGAATGCACCGTTCAGGTTTTATTTGGAGCAGCATCCCTCCGTTGGTATTGAAGATACATCTAGATAGCATGTCCCAAATAGAAAGAAAGGCGAACCTTGGATTCCACTGATAAGTTTACGAAATGTTTCGGGGGTCGCTCATAGAGGGGCACCCAGCTGATACAAAGACACCAGACCAACATACATAGCTCATCACGACTACTTTGAATTGTTAAACTTGTCGCCATCCAAAGAGTAAGGCCTGGGAGTTCATGTGTTCAGAAAGGGACTATTCTTTACCGAAATTTGGTGAATCCACTAAATCCTGCTTTATTAATAACCTTTCTGGTTGGTTTTAAGTTCTCATCAGGAAACAAATGTTTTCAAACTCAAAGTGATGATGACGTTTGGAGCAATATTTATCGCCCATAATCATATGAGGTGTAAGATTTGATCATACCGAAAAATGTGTGCCCAACACGTCATCATCTGTAATAAATAATACTGTGATGACTACTACTTACAATCAAATATAAGTAATATATCAGTAAACGAATTCAGAAAAGTAACAATATGTTTTCAACACTAGAAAAAGGTTAATCGAAGAAGACAACTGTGAGAAGAATGTTACAAACACTGTGCAGAATTATCCAAAAAGCTATCGAATGTGGTGATATTAGACCAACTTGTGAATGATGTGTAAATAAAGCATTGGAGATATGGTATGCTAAACTATATGTACCTACAATGCGTTTGTCCTAAATGAACATTGGCTTCGAGTCACATCGGTCTTTTCTCTTTTACAGCACTACATCACTGTAACTATCAAATAAAAGTAATTTATAATGGAGCCAAAAGTGCCCAAAAAGTAAAGGCAAAAAACATACCTGGTCAGGAAATAGTCCTTGTCGTGTCATTTCAGCCAACAGGTGACTAGGACTGACCCCAGCTGAAGTTCTTCGATTAATTAAAGCATTGTATATTCCTGTATCAGGGCGTAATTTAAATCTTGGCAACAGGCTTAAAAATTCTTTCTCCCATAAATCAAAATCATTCTCATAATTATTATCCAATTTATTCGGATATGGTAGAAGACGAACTAGCGAAGTCATGAATGGTAGGCCTGGTTTTAGTTTATAATGATTTTCAATGACATCAATAAATCCATGTAGTCCACCGACAAGAGCAAGACGTTGCCATGGTGCAAGACTTTGATTCTTTGGTCCACATATCTGAAATTTAAAACGTAAGGTTGTTTGTTTGTTTTTGTTTTGTTTTCGAAAAATGTTGCAGTACTTACTTAAAAGTGAAATTAAATAGAAAGGGGGAAAAGTTGAAGTGTCAACTACATTAGTTGATAAGTCATTACACACGTATGACGTGACTGAAACCAGGGTAGAGGTGAAGACAGTGAGAAAAGACAGATCACCTAAATGGTCCCGATGTCTGTAAATTGAAATCCATCAATCAGAGAAAGTGTAATCTACCTAACAGCTGTGTCAGCGCCACCTACCCTGGCAATCTACTGTTGGTAAGTACTAACTAACCTTCTATCCAAATGTTGGTTTGTAGGGATTTCATTGATTGGTTACAGGATTTCATAATGAGCTGATATTGATTAAAGAACCATTGGAAAACCACCTGGGAGTACTGGACAGCTGTATCACCAGCCTAGTTTGGGACTCTTCAGCAGCACGCACCCAGTGGAGTTCGAACCCATGACCTACTGGTTAAAAGGCGAGCTCGTAGACCATAGGGCCCCAGTGGCTTAAGCGTCTACGAGCTCGCCTTGTAACCAGAAGGTCCTGGGTTCGAACCCTGGTGGGTGCGTACTGCTTAAAAGTACCAAAGTGGGACCTAACAGCTATCCACTACTCCCAGGTTTTCCAATGGTTCTCTAACCAATGTCAGCTCATGATGAAATCCTGTAACCTTCTATCACTAATCAGTTGACACTAGCTAATCACCTAAAATTTGAAAATGTGTAATGCACCAGAATAACAGACCAACTTACTCTTTGGTTCTAATAAAAAGTTGTTGAGGAAATTTGATTAACATTTCGTAGTAGTATATAAACCTTCTTAATGACGTTTGTTTACTTGAACAGAGCTACAAAGGAAGCTCCCATACTATGCCCTGTTTCTAGTCCTGCGACCTAATGAAAGAAGCATAGGGATGGTCAACCCTTGATATAATGCCATTAAATCAGATATAGTTGTCTTAGGTTACTGTCTGCTGCTATATCACGACTCCCTTGGGGCTACTTGATGAGAGATAATTCGAATCAGTGACACAAGACATTATCAGATACAGCCGGGAATTGTTATCATCAGTCGCGAACACGCTAAGATTTCCTCTCTTATTTTTCCCTTTCCGAAATTAACATGGAGTAATGAACCATCCTTTGAATACTCTTGATAAATATGTTTACCCGCTTTCTGGAAGCTGTCCCTCGTTTATTCTATTCTTATTTTTCTTAAACTGTTTGCCTTTTAAATTATTTTTGGGTGACGCATCTCTTGTTGCCCATTTTGTACCAAGTTTACGTTAATATAATAATATCAGTAGTAATAATGTTAGAACCTACACGATAGGCTAGTTTGCCGTTTCCCAACCCCTTATCCCAAATATAGATATGCATGGATCTGCATGTCATCCAACAGTTGAGTGGTTAGAATTTAATTGGTAGATGGCGACTAGCAGTGGAATCCAGGATAAAGCACATTTCGTCCTATTTAGGACCCGTCCTCCGGATGTACCTGCATCCCCCAGTCAGTAAGTGATGATATTCCCACCGAGGCTCGAACCCAGTGCCTATAGTTTCAAACGCCAAAGCGTTATCCACTAGACCACTTCGGCAACCTAGAGAGCCACCTTTTTGTGAATGCCCAGACATCGTCGAAGCATCTGCACAAGAAGCCGACATGTCAAGCTGAGACCGAACACTTCGGTTCAATCAATCAAGAGGGAAAATCTAGAATTCAATTAAAGTTGAGTGGCTAGCTTAACATCCTTGAATTTGTTAGAAGAGCATTATCCCTTCCCGCATGATACCTACCTATACGTCGAATGAATATGACACGTAAATGCGTCTAATAAACGAATAAACAAATTGTGTACAGGCGCTCAAGTTATTTGTCATGATATGAATGATGATAGTTCCCACTAGGATTGACGCTTATGACTTATTTGATCAGATGCTCAACTGTGTGTATCCGTTGATCACTTGTTGAAACGCCACTTCACCTGTTATAGTACGTGCATGGCACGTCTACGGTTTCCAACTGACAGCGTAGTAGCAGTAAACGTCGCACAAAAAGCCTAGCTATTTTAATTCATGTCGGTCAACACATCCGAAGATAATCCTGTCAAGACGTTAAAATTGCATTCTAACTAATCTTATCGCTATTATACATTAGAATTTTGCAAATCAACCAACTTGCGTGTGATACGCGCATACATTTATTGATCAGTAATGGTATACACTATTGCATGGGCATGAATAGTTGAAAGCTTCTCACGACAACTAGTAGCGCTTGCCAGTCACATTATCGAAGTGTTGTAAACACCGTTAGGTCATTTCACCAGTTTGAGGTAGAGTTCATCAACGGTGTTAGACTTATCTCAGAGAGCCGAATCACTTCATATCACCCGAACAAAATGGCTTACTTACTTACTCACGCGAACTGATGATACACAGGATCATATTCTCAATTAACAAATCGCACACTTCGAAATTAAACTTCACCTTGGATGGCTTGAATTGATTATCGGTTATCTGAGTCGTGCCACTTTAACCCATTACTGATGAGTTCTGCCCCAAACAAGAGAAATAACCGTCCGGTGTTAGGATCACTTCGATTTGCCTGGAAAGCATCACTAGTTAGATTTGCGTGGTTTTTAACTACTCATATCGATACAGTAGTATATACCATTATGATGATGCTCAGGAAAGCTTCGTGTACTTTTGGAAGTGTGTGGGCAGTTGTTACTCCCCGGCTGCCCACACTGTGGAAGTTGATTGATTCTTCGGGTACCTGAAACATAAAGAGTGTTGCGTGACCACAGAGCCTAGAGGACAACTGCTTGATACTGGCCGGTCACACACGGCCTGTGTGAACTGGTTTCTGGGATTGGTTCCGTATTAGTAAACTTACCACCGGTTACGGACCACAGTGGGGTAAGTCAGGATGTACAATTTTTGAGGGCAACCTATTTTAACCCCATCTCTCCGGAGTGGAGAGACAGTATAGCTGGCATGCTGGTCATCTGAGGGAAACACCTCATTGCTGTTACACCCCTGTTTCCCAGCAGTACGACTTCGCCCTCAGACCCCCAGCATGGTGTAAGAAAGATTCTTACACAATGCTGGTAACTGCTTTTAGTCTAATCGCTATCCTAACAACCTTCCTGGTATGGTGAGACCTGCACGAACATTGGTTCCAGCCAGTGTAGCTTGTTGGGTCATCGCGATGTGCAAGCCCGACCACCACTTCAATGTAGCAGCTATCGGTCGGGATATACTATCATGGAATTACGTTTGCATACTTGGTCGCTGTCGATGCTAACAAGGAGATCAAATATAACAGGTTTCTAAGGGAAATCCGAGGTGAATTAATGTATATCATATCTGATAGAAAATACAACATAATGATCAAAATAACTTACTACTATTGGTTTATCAGTAGGCAATAGAACATTTATTGGACTGGCAAGCGCTAACATTGTATTCTCCCAATCTAAATGATTAACTTCCGATGTCTTTTGGACAGTAGTAGATTCACGCAGTGGATTCTCTTGACTTGAAGGCATACTACTACTTAACGACGACAATTGAGAAGCTTGTGAAATCATTAATGTAGCTAATTCACTTGATGTACACGATGGATGTATAGGCAAATAAACAGTTTGCTTTGAATCCATCAATGCATCATATTTAAGCAAGTCTTGAAATGACTTACACTGCGTATTCTTTACAAATAATAATTCGGAGTTATTTGAATCTAAACAATTATTCTGTAGTGACATTATATTAGCAAGTAGAGTGAAATGATGCGGAACAAGAGATTGATGAGTGTAGGGCAGTAAATCATGCCATAGAATAATAGCCAATTGAAATGGACTAAAACGGAATACATTATCTGCATTAGATGCGGTTTGTTTCAATGAATCTTTGTCATTATTATTACTATTATTATTATGGCATAATATTAAATTTCTTTTCATATTAGCTGGTTCAATAGCAGACAATAAAGAGACTAATGTAAATGAATCAGGCGTTAAGCGTTTTTGTGATTTCATACTTCCATGGAATGATGGACTAGTGCTTTTTGTCATCATCATATCTAATGCACGCAAGCAACCATGGATATCACCAGCTGAAAAGAAGAAGAAGAAGAGAGAGAGAAGATTATTAAAAAATGGAACCTATAAAAGGTAAGTATTTCAACTGTTGCGTTGGTGGTATAGCGGTTAGAACGCTCGTCGACAATGCACATGGTCCGGGGTTCGATCCCCGGTCACAGAAGCACTCCTTTACCTCGCTAAGCCAGAAATAATGCTGGTAAAGGGGAAGGTTGGGCATGAGGCTAGCAACCCCACCCTGTAAAAATTAAACACTGCTACAGAAACTTCAAGCCACTAGCTTGGAGCCCTATGTTCCACTGGGAACGTGAAGGAAAAATTATTTATTTATTTCTACTGTTAAAGTGAATCATAACTGATTGACTAAGTTTCAATGTACCACTTCGTCTGTCTGTCTGTTTGTTTTCGACATAGAACTTTGCATCGATATGCACCAGTTCAAGTTACCATACTCCCTTCTTGTAGCACACAAAGAAAGAGAAGAAAGTAGAAGAAATGCGAAATAGAAACAGTAGACAGGGATATGAGATAAAAGGAATAATAATAACGAAGAACAATATAGTTTTGTTGGAAATTATGAGTCACAAAGAGTGGAGGCATTTGCGGCAGCCATTGGTTTTTACCGTCCCGAGGACCCCAACCAGTCTTGGAGTCTACACCTTCCTACGTGACTGGCTCGCTTGAACTAACTGTTGTGGATTTCATTGAACGATAAAGGCATGTTTTGGTTTGACTACCACTGGCTCTTTTCCAGCTTGACCCTATGTCAGCTAGTAGAACTTTGTACAGCAGTGAAGTACTTCAAGTTGCCCCTCCACACTTCAAATACCACACAAAGGAAGAGATAAAAATTCAAACGAACTGTTATGAAGACAAATGTACGGGAGAACAAATAATTTAATGGAAGTATATGAGGATTTCATGGACCTGCACAACTGAGAACTGTTTCAAGTCATATATGTTCAAACCAAGTTCACTTTTAACAGTTTGAAAAAATTTGGGCATTGGATATATCATATTTCCACCATAATAAAGGTTTTTCGTGTATTTCCCAATGAATGAAAAACAAAACGATATTGTTGTTTTTACTGACGTTTCGCTATTTAATGCTGCTAACAGCTTTGTCAAAGTATTATTAAATCATGTTTGAAAATCTTGTAATGATCCTTCCGCAAGTCCACCTACGAAAACCTTATTACGACTTTTATTGACTCTAAATAGTCAGGTTAGGTCGTCTTCTCAGCATTAGTCGAGAGGAAAAGCCACTGCAACGACACCAATCCAACGGCTTCACTAAACCATTCAATCAGTAGTAGCGACGGGCGGTGTGTACAAAGGCAGGGAGGTAATCATTTCGGAAGCGCAAGCTTATGACTTTCAATTACCAGAAATTCCTCGTTCATGGGGAATAATTGCAAACCCCGATCCCAGTCACGACGGTGATGAGACAGTTCACCCAACCCTTTCAGGCCAGGTTTCCAGACGTTCTGGCACCGTCATTGTAGCGCACGTGTGGCCCCGGACATTTAAGGACATCACAGTCCTGTTATTGCTCAAATTCGTACGACTTCAATGTGAGGTCTGTCCCTCTAAAGAAGTAAAAGCTAGCACGGTACCCGCCAGATCACGACCACACTACTCCATAAAGAAGCAATAGAAGCCACGCCACAGAGGATCAGTCTACTATTTAATAGTTTAAAGTCTCGTTCGTTATGGGAAGTAACCAGACAAATCGCTCCACCAACTAAGAACAGCTATAACGTCAGAAGACAAGAGACTTTGAAAAGGGATGTTTGTTTGCAATTTGGTATCTCTATACAGCCAAATTATGTATGCTTTATCTTCAACACACCATTTGCACAGATCTTCCGTGTTGTGCTATTTCTGGAGCTTACATTGTGTTTCTTTGTGCTCCTTTCACGTCTCCTATGCTTTTATGCAACGTTGTATCATTTGCTTTCTATGACATCAAATTTATCTAGCTGTTATTTGATGTTTTTATGCCGATGAACATCTCTTTATGTATACATACTACTGATAAATCGTATCAGTAGCACACGCCACAATATTGTCAACAATCTCAAACCATTGGTTCTTACCATCCCGAAGACCCTAACCAGGCAGTTACACCTTCCTGTATGTATAAAAAAACAACTTTTAAGTTTGATCACGAAATAAGATCAGTGAGTGAACCGATTGGAAAACCAGATTGTACTGGACGGCTGTTTCATTCTAGTTTGGGAGACTTCATGGACTGTTGGATAGGGTCGAAGTGGCTGAATAATAGTCTGTTAGTTCGCATTGTAGCCTATGTATGTTTGCTGCTGAAGATCCTTAAAACGGGGAGGAAACAGCAGTCTAGTACTCCTCCTAGTTTCCGAATGGTTCTATACCTGATGTCAGCTCATTATCAAACATGTACCCAATCAAATCCCTGTAAACCAATACTCCGAAACAACTGTCAAAGACTTCATCAATTGATGAAACGTTTTGGTCTGACCACTCCTAACTCTTTTCCAACTTAGTCGTTTGCCATATAACATTGCTCCACATGCGTAACACGTGCTAAATCAATATGTTTTTTTTTCATTTTATTTCAGTCTACCATACAAATGAAAAAATATCATAACTTCAGTATTAATTCATCAACAGTCTAAAGCAATCTTAATTGCTTGAAAATTCACAGAGCCAAAGATGATTCAGAGAACATCATCACCTACCGAGGATGCAGGCACATCCGACTGAGGCGTCTCAAACAGGAAGAAAGGCGTGGACTTATATTGCAATGTCAATACCAACCCACCATAAACCAGATCACACCATTTTAGCCTGAAGGCATCATCGAAACGTTTCTTTTTACTGGGAGTCGACATCTTTCGCGCCCTCCACCTACCTATATCACTCTTCAGAATTTTGACTCTGTTCCACCCACCCTATTGTGTGGTTGTTTGTTAATGCTTGCAGTGCTATAGATGAGTTTTTCTCTAAATTACTTATCTTCGTGGGATCAATCATTCTAAACTTAGCTAAATTCCTATGTTCTGATAACCTGACTACTCCTGATCTACAAGTTTGACTTACGTAGTTGACTTAACTCAAAGTCATTGCAAGGTATTTGGTAAATTATATTATTTTGCTTAACTGCATCCACCGGGTCCTTTAGCCTACACAGTTAGTCCTACCTGAGTGAGTTTGTAGGTTTGACTGCCACCCTAATTCCTGCTTTATTGAGAATCCTACTTCGGAGGGTCTCACAGATGTCGCCTCCTTACGCGGTAAAACTCTACCACAATATCCAAGTTTTATCCATATATCAATGACCTAAACTTACTCATTAGTAGAAGGCATAATTCTTAAGAAAAGAGAAAAGATAGACTGATCAGTTGAATAATAATATTGTTTCTTTTTCTCAGTTTTGTATTGAAAGGTAACTTCCTCACTTATACTACCTAAGAGAAATTATTAGTATAATTATTATGCAGTTGAAAAAAGTGCGTAGATCTACTTAAAAGTACATTATCTTATTTAATGTACATTAAACAACTTTCAATTGTTTGTTTGCACATATGCGATCGATTTTGAGTCCCCACGAATCCTACAATCGCCAGTACACTGATAGCTACTGGATAGGTTTTCTGAAGCTGATGTGGGAAGTCGTAACCAGTGGGGTCAAGGTCAATTGGATACTCATAGAAGGCATAAGTGGTAAGGGTGGCTCTATGTCACGAGTCAGTCAAGTTAGAATTTAGAAGTCATGGAATGTCTAGTGCAAGTGGCTGAATGGTTAAGGACCTTATTCCCGTAACCTGAAGGTCAGAGGTTCAACTCCTGCCAAGGTTGTGGGTGAGCACTGCTGAGGTATCCCAAACTAGGATGAAACAGCTGTCCAATACTCCCTGCAGGTTTTCCAATGATTCTCTAACTGACGTCAACTCGTAACCGAACCGTAACCAATTAAACTCCTGCAGACCAACAGTCTATATATATCCTCATGCAAGAACCATATACGTAAACCTTTATCTGTTGTGTGATTACTATATTTTTAATGCTTCCTTGTTTTGTTTTGTTTATGAGCTACCCTTCATGTCAATTTGTCATCTGAAGTGGTGACAACTAGTGGTGTCTGTCAGCGATGTTCACTATCCCCATTTCTATTCAATTTCACCATAGACGTACTAATGGACTTAGCTCTAACTCACTTCGGAGAATCAGGGATTGACTTGTTACAGCCAGGGAATAATCTCGTTGACTTAGAATATGTTGATGATATAGTCCCGTCTCCCAGGTGCAGAGTCTTCTGAACATCTTGAGTTACAATCTACGAATTTTCTGCATGCGATTCGCTCCCGCCAAATGTAAGACGATGTTACAGAACTGGACTACAATGACTCCTAGTTTAGAAATAGGGAGTGAAGTGGTTGGTGGAGCGTGTTGACCACTTCACTTATTTGGGAAGTTGCATCAGCAAGCCCCAACGGGTCGATCACTGACGAAATCTCAATACGGATACAGAGGGCTAATTTCGCATTTGCCAGTTTATGCCGTCTCTGGTGCAAACGTGATATCCAGTTGTCTATTGACCAAAGGTGTGTCTACTGCTCAGCATCCGTACCGTCCTCCTTTATGGCTGGTTGTTAGACCTGGCCATTGAGAGTGGAAGACATGAAAAGACTAGCTGTAATTGATCATAGGAGTCTGGGTTCTATCTCCCGTGTGAAGTGGTATAATAGGTGAGCAAAGTTGAGGTTAGGCGTCGGTCGAGTGCTAGGTAGATGGGAGGGGAAATCAATCAATGAAGCTATGAAATTACATCGACTGAGATGGTTAAGACATGTGTTACGTATGCCTAGTCATTGCCTTCCTCGACTGACGGGCAATGTTAGCTGACATAGGTCAGGCTGGAAAAGAGCTAAGGCGGTCAAACCAAAACATGGCTTCCCTAGTCAATGAAATCCACAACAGTTAGTTCAAGTCAGTTTCGTAGGAAGTGTAGACTTCCTGGTTGGGATCCTCGAGACGGTAAAAACCAATGAAGGCCGAAGACTATCGGTGATATGGCTCAAAGTGATTGTTCTCAATAGCTGCCGCAAATGCATCCACTCTTTGTGACTTATAATTTCCAACAAAACTATATTGTTCTTCGTTATTACTATTCCTTTTATCTCATATCCCTGTCTACTGTCTCTATTTTGCATTTCTTCTACTTTCTTCTCTTTCTTTATGTGCTACAAGGAGGGAATGTGGCAACTTGAACTGCAGCACATCAGTGCAAAGTTCTATGTTGAAAGGAGACACACAGATAGGAGGTAGAAGGTAGACTTCAGTTTTTGTATTTCACATTGTTAATGTTGCTAATGCGTCATCAACATCTCATCACAACAAATAAACATAAAGAGTAGCTCAATAAAATAAAAAAACAACTAAGAAGCATTTAATAGACTTAATAGCTACACTTCCAGATAAAAAGGTTTCGGTGTGTGGGGTTTGTCGCATGGATATACAAAAATGTATATGTCAATCAAAATGCAAAACTCTGATTGTAGATGATAGCACACATTGTTTTAAGTCCATTTTGAATTTGTCACCTATAACAACACTGTTATCATGTAATGACAAGACCACCTTTTTGATACCGTCTTTTATATAAAACATTTGTTTTTCTCAATGAAACACTTTCATATTTTGTTATGACAACTTGCTTACCTTAGAAACAAAAAAATGTATTCATTTAAAAAAGATTTGCTTCATATTGTTAAGCAAATAATAAGAGTACTAGTCACGCTATTTTTTATTGGAATCTATATATTATGACAGACTTTGTCATAGTTGAAAGAAATCCTATGGAAAAGTAAAAAGACAACTGCGGTGAAGAAAAGCTTTACTTTTCCAACGAGAATCGTAGATTGGCTGCACCATGCGTCCCTTCTCGGGAACACTATCCAGCATGGTTAGAAAGGGAAGAGTGGTAGTATATCTGTAGCTTGGTAACAAAACATCTCGAGAATTCAGGACACTCAGCTCCAACTGAGGAATCCTTCAAAGTCTTACACAAGATCCGATAAAAGAAACCCTCTTAAATAGAGTGAGATAGATAAAGACATCTAGGTATATATAGCTGAGGCATTAAAGATCCAAAAACTCGAGCTAAGGCTATGTTTCCTAAAGGAGAATGTTCAGTCTATGTCTTCGTAAGCAACGTATTTTCTCAAAAGATAATTATTATCTGAAATCCCTGTTTATTTCCCCCTTAAATTTTGAAAATCTCTAGTCATCTTACGTAACTTCACCTTGTTATTCACTGTATTTTGACCTCTGATCGGAAATACTTTCGAAACTTTCTCATCCTGTTTTTACGAGTTGATCATGGATTGATATCAGTTAGAGAACCATTGAAAACCAGCCACAGGGAGTACTGGATAGCCGTTCCATCCACCTAGTTTGAGAACCAATGCCAGTACGCATCTACCCCCACCTGCTGGGGTTCGAACTCAGGACCTTCTGGTTACAAGGCAAGCTGGCTCGTATACCATTCAGTCACTGGGACCCGATTTAATGTCCAGTCCATGAATTCTAACTTCTACACCAATTCGTGATTTAGCACGACCCCAACCAATGTCATCAGTGGGACATCCATCCTCACGCGTGACTGACTGGATAGACCTCACTGGTCATCCCTGTTTGTTATATATTCATGAATGTACAATCTAATTGATTGCTTCATCTTTTGCTGCAGCCGCTATTTTGTTCTTCCTATACTGTTCGAAGAGAATTCATAGTAGGGGAGAACAAGAGTTCTTTCTACTAATTATTACACAATCACAATATTACTCTTACTTACTTTACTTTACTTCGGCTATCTCCTACGGGAGGATGAACCGGCTTCATGAACATCTCGAATGTTTGTAAGAGAGTTGATGAAGTTTCATGGGAATTGGGTACGAGTGATGTCCCCATCATCGCTCGGCCTTTTGTTTGAGAGTACAGCTCTAGCCTTTACACAACCAAGTGTGACCTACAAGGCAGTAGGAGTGGAGTAGGGAGTCCACTATGCATTGGTAGCCGGTGACCGGAGTCCGGTTCATACGCCTTTTTGAATAGGGCCAGACATCCAGGACATCCAATAAGCCCTTTGTCCATACGTCTGCCGGTGAGCTTCATACGCCAGTCGTTGGAGGTTTGGAATCAGGGTTTAGCCATCTCCCCTAGACTTTCATCCAATGGACAGTCAACCCGGGGAAGAGCGTCGTGCATCCGCTTTTGCCCCCTCACTTCAGTGAAATAAACACCTCCGCCACGTGAAGGCAGTGATTAGGACTTCCTCAAGAGAGGCTATGTAAGACGCACGGTCATATGGGAGCATTTCAAGAGGTGTACGGAGGGGGTGGCTAACCCGCAGCGCAAGACACCCACCCCCGACCATCCTGAGGCTTTGGAAAATCAATTCTGGTGAGCATCGTTCTCCTCTCCACATAAAATCAAATGTCTAACTAAGATGCACAATCATACATTTAGTCTCCAATTACTGGAGAATATTACTGGTGATATGCTTCAAAATCTTTCTCAATGAATGATGACCTAGATGCATTCACCCTTTATAATCCTCCAGATTGATTAAACTCTCATGTTTTTTTCACTTTTACTGCTTTTTTTTACTCGTAAATACACAATTGTTTTCATTATAATGTTCTTTTGAATTTCTTTCTTTTTCTCTTGTCTCTACGTGTTTTTCTACGTGCTTCATGAAGTATGTATGGTAACTTTAAGTGTTGCACCCTTCTGTGCAAAAGTTCTATGTTGAAACTCTGTCATTCATTCAGTCAGTCAGTCATTCATAAATTTAGAAATATAATACCTACCTATTAACTATCCAGTAACCTTAAAATATTACACATATTTACCTCTGAAATACATATTTTAAACACTGTCAATATTGATCAAATTAGCATACCTTTAGCCAGCGCTAAAATAAGAGAATTATAAGTGATATTGGTTAACGCGATCTCCTTCTCTTTTAGACGACGCCATAGTGAATAGACTTTATTGACTGCAGGTCCACCAAAATGTGTTGGTAACATATCTGGAGTTAATGCTTTTTGAAGGGCTAAACTGAAAGTAGAAAAAGAAACAAAACAAAATAAGAAAGAAATATTATCAGAATTTGGACAATACAATGAAGAATTCCACAAGCACACATCCCGCTGAAGTGCTCCTCAAAAAAGTAGAAGGACAAATGTTAACGTTTAGCGTTTACAATCGGATTGATGTACAAACTGATCTATCTTGGAGAGTTGGGAAACCATGATTTCAAATCTACATTAGCTTTGGAATACGAAAAGATCAAGTGACGCATGTGCCTAGGTTCGTCACTGGAGGTCATGAGAACGCAGCTCCTGATGCCCCCTCCACGGTCTTATGATGGATCAGAATTCAAGTCAAAGGCTCGGGTGGTGACCCCATCAAGACAACCACCTGCTTCGGTCTGGGCATTCGAGCAGTATCTCAGCACTCACACTGACCCAGTGTGTTTAAAGGTTATCTGTCTAGATCACAAAGAACCCAAGTACTCGGAGTAGATTTTTAAGATACCAAGATCTGTAAGCCAAATAGTTATTGCGTGAGGACTGAAGTGGTTAGAGGGGAATGCGAACCAGGGAGTCACTGGGTGTAAGCCAAGTGATCAAGCCACAATGAGCAACATCTCCAAATTTTTTGATTCACATAGTCTACGCGTCACATTCAAATTTTGCCAAATTAAACTATTAGTGCTATGAAACGACGAAACTGATTTCACAAAATCCTCACAAGTTGAACACATAAGAAATTATCAGTCTTAATAGAGAAATTTAAAAAGGTTGGACAGATCAATATCAAATAGTGAAATATCACACATAATATGAAAGATAAAAACGAAATAGTACTAAAAGATTGAGAATCGAGAAATAACCCTTTATTGATGGGTATTAGTGTAACGACAGAAGACAAGGGCCAGGAAACAGGCCGCTTATTGAGAAAATCAACAGATATCTATAGATTTTTATGTACATTATTATTCGTTATTATTAGAAAAGAAACAGCGTCTTCTGATTGGTCGTTTTCTCGCTGAGAGTTAATCTGTCATCCCTTTGTGGCTGTTTCTTTGAAGGTCAGACCATACGTATATTTGCGAATCGTATACGCCCACACAAAGTCTGCTGTGATTAGTTGTTGAATTAGTCTTTGTTCTTGTTCTTTTCTCATGACCCCGATTTGGGACGTGAACATTGACGTAAATTGCTGTCCACCAATGTTGGCTAGCAGACAGCTCTCACTATATTAGTGTATGTGTTATAAAACCTTCTGTATAATTTTGAACATCAAAAGAACTTCAAAGGTTTATGATCATGTGTAGACGATTATTACTCTGGTGGAAGTTAACTCTTTTTTCGAGTAACTGTAGACGAAAAACAATTAGTAATTCATGATTGCAAAGTCCAGAATGTAACCGCTCGAGGCATATCACACAAAGTCTATTTAGACGTCAAGCATAAAAAAGATCTCACCACTGACTATAGATCAACACACAGTAAGTTAGAATGTACAACTTTCTTCGATTAACCTTTTTCAAACCCTTTTCCTTCAAACTGAACGATAAAACCACTGACCTGTTAGTCGATCGTGAGAAAATTCCTACTGATGTCACACTCTTAACGTCTTCGGCTCCAAAATTCCACCACAGTGTAAGTGTTTTTAGTCTAATCCTAATTCCCTCTACTCTCTCTCTCTCTTTGTCTCTCTTCAACCATCTAAATCGACAATTCAAAGTGCACCACGATGGCGAGTCACCTAGAATGGTGACCACATGGCAAACTCGACTGATAGAGCTCAGTCTGCACCAAACAAAATACTACAAACTGTTCCATCAAAAGTATCCAATACAGTCATAAAGGACATCATTCGCGACCCGAAGGATGTTCCAATGTATTTACTCTTAGTCATCTAAATTCTGAAGACATTAACCAACCCTTCAATCCACTATCCTCCTGTCGTACAACTTGAACCAATGTACTGGTTGTGCAGACTTCTACGTTGATAAGTCAGTTGGTAAACATAATTAACACAGACATAAAGGGGTGGGAACAAGTTACGCGTTATGATGTTTCAATAAGTTGTTGTGGTAATGAAAACTTCACTGTTAAACAATCCAGGTGAACAAATCATCAGTTGAGTACTAGAAATAGTCATAATATTAAGAATTTTCATACTCATCAAAAGACACATATCAAATGATGTTAACAGTTTATTGTAATCAGTTCAACAGTAGGGGTCATACATTTTGTTATACAATTTGCCCAACACTGTCATCGACGATTCGAAAGACAGTCGGAGCAATACACACCTTGTTTCAGCAAAATAATTATATTCTAATAGTTGCAAACCAGTAGGAAAAACACTTCGAAATGAAAACAGAGAGCGTTAAAAAAAGTCGAATCATAAACCAGTAGAGGTTGCAGACCTTTATCAACAACTGTCTTCGCTGGCTCTATACTGGAGATCAGATGGTCGGGCCGGAAAAAACCACCAACAAGAAACTATGGCTGGAAACAAACAAAACAAGAACCAATCGCCAACCAACAAATATCCAGGAGAAAGTGGAGATGGATTGGACACTCACTGAGGAGGCCGCTGAGTGACATCGCGCGCGCTTCAGGCCATTGCTCGAGTGGAAACCGGCCGAAAGGGAAGCGGCGAGTGGGATGTCAGTGCAAGGGTGACATGGAGGAGATCATGTGAAGAGGACCTAAAGTAGTATGGACTAACATGGATGCAGGTGAAAAGTACGGCAGAAGACAGAAGTAAGTGGAGACGTGCAGTCGAAGCCCTATGTTCCACTAGAAATCCAAGGGAACAATAATAATAATAAACCAGTAGAACAATGTTTTTATGCCTACATACATCACTGAATAGATGATTAACTATTAAACCGAACAAAAACTAGATGAATCCATTAGGAAAAAAGAAAAAACATGATAGGATAGTTCAGCCAAAACACACATACACATAAAGTGAAGTGAAGCAACTAGTGTAATGGTATATGAGAATTTAAAGTGGAAGTGTGGTGAGAGCTGTCTGCTAGCCAACATTGGTAGACAGCAATTTACGTCAATGTTTACGGCCCACATCTTGGTCATCAGAAAAAAACAAGAACTCAACAACCAATAACAGCAGACTTTGCGTGGGCGTATACGATTCACAAATATACGTATGGTCTGACCTTCAAAGAAACAGCCACAAAGGGATGACGGATTAACTCTCAGCGAGAAAACGACCAATCAGAAGACGCTGTTTCTTTTCTAATAATAACGAATAATAATGTACATAAAAATCTATAGATATCTGTCGATTTTCTCAATAAGCGGCCTGTTTCCTGGCCCTTGTCTTCTGTCGTTGCAGAAGGATATAGAGCTTCGAACTGTTTTATATTCAACATTTCCAAACTGTAGCGATAAATACACTTATCCTAATTTCCTTAGGAAGTGTGTATAATGAATATTGCGTTGTTGAAACTAAGTCCCCGGGAACAAATCCTTCATGTTTTCAGGCTATAATCAACCACAGAATTATTGTGTGAGGATTGATGATACTACCCAATAGTCGCAAAGACTGAAGTAGGTGGAGCGGGACTCGAACCTAAGACACACTGACTAAATGCTGAGTGATCAAGCCAATGAGCTATATGAATGCTGGTTATCAGTGCACCACATTTACAAAAAAGACACCGTTTATAAAACATAAGAAAGAAGCAATATATTGATGAAAACTCATATTTTGACGGTATCATTTGCAGAAATTGCACTAAAAACCCTTGATAAATTTCGATAAAGCAGGGGAAAAAACATTTGCAGTATAAAAAGACGTCGATGTTCCTTTTTTTTCCATCTTCTTCTCCCCCCCCTAGTTTACCACTTTGTGAGAGGCACATAAATTGGTGATGACTAGAAATTGAAAATAAAATTTTAGATACCTCGCAGACTGCAGCTGATGAGAAAGCTGAGAAAGAAAATGATGTCATTTTACGCTACAAATTTGATCTTTCTTGCCTTATCGGAACTATTTATATTTCCAAAAGGCAGAAAATAAATTGAGACCAACCACCAATCCAATTGTTATGCAACAAATACGCTAAAATTGATTTTACAATAGCCCTATTTGTGTTTCAAAAGTTAAACAAGAGATCAACGGTAAAATAACAAAACTTACTTTTTACGTTGTAATAATGATAAAGAAGAATTGCCAGGATGATTTACAACAATAGGCGGAATAAAATGCTTATACTTCCGATACCAGGTTGAAATATCTTCAGCACACGAACTAAAAGATAGAATTGAATAATAGGTGAACAAATGAAAAGTAATCACATTTACCATCCGAACAACAATAAAATTATTCAAATTTACAATTTACACAATTCGCGGTAAGATTTCACCACAGTTTCCTCTGGAAGCCAAAATTATTCAAATCACAATATGTCACTTGCTTAATATGATAAACAGCAATAAGGGGAAAGCGGTGGCAAAGATAAACTACCATGGTCAAAACCACAGTGACGTGACCTTGAATAACCAATCAGAATTCAGATTTTAAAAATTCACATATAATCGTTGAAGAAGCCATTAAAACACATTGCAAACATGATATTATACCACATAGTTGTCCCTTATGTGTTGTAAGAATGTCGCCCAATCAAATCAATACAAATATGATCTTATAGAGAAATCATACCACGCACAATAGATGCATTCATCCAGGTGACTGTAGGTCATGGTACTTTGAGATCTATTAATACCTCTGGCACTGTTTAACCTACTCCTAACCCTAACCATAATCTTATCCTTAACCCTACACTCTAAGCCTTAATCTAAAAAGTCATAACCCTAATTAAAAGCATAAATTTACAGGAAAAGTAAATAACTGGAATACTGTGTCTGCCTTCTCCAAGTCGAAAAAGGCAAACATGATTTGATTTGGAATGACTTTTCATAGCATTCCCTATATCTGATTGGTCTTTCAAGGTCAACTTTTTGAAGATCTTGGCTTTGGCTGTGATACTTTGTCTGTCTGTTTTCGACATAGAACTTTGCACGATGTGCAGCGGTTCAAGTCACCACACTCCCTCCTTGTAGCACACAAACCACAAGAAGAAAGTGGAACAAATGCAATATAGAGACATTAGACAGGGAGATGAGACAAAAGGAATAGTAATAACGAAGAACAATATAGTTTTGTTGGAAATTATAAGTCACAAGGAGTGGATACATCTGAGCCAGCCATTGAGAACGATCACGTTGGGCCATATCACCGACAGTCTTCGGCCTTCATTGGTTTCTACCCTCCCGAGGACCCCAACGAGGAAGTCTACACCTTCCTATGTGGCTTAAACTAATTGTAACACTTTAACTTCGTCAAAGCAATTATAAGTGTATGATGCTACATATTACTGAGTGGTCGACATGAGTAGTTGGGTGGTACCCATAAAAACCGGCAGTAAGAATTGTGAATTCAATTTAACGTATAACCAGTTCATCCAGGTGGCTAGTCAGATATCACGGGGGGGGGGGGGGGTCCAAATGATTCGGTTTTTTGTGCTGAGTAAAACCTTGCACACCACTGATGAGTTCAGCCTCAAACTAGTGGGACAACCTTCCAATGTGTAGATCGCTTCGATGATTTTGCTGCCAAGCACTGTTGGTTGATGTCAGGTATATCCAACTATATTCAATCTGATGGTCAACGAAATTGGTCTCGTAACCTGAAAGTCCCGCATTCTATCTCTGGTGGTAACCATGGTTCCCATACTAAGACAAGATAGCCGTCCAAAGTGTTTCCGAGTTCATGACGAAATCTACATTGAAACTAATCCACAAGATATATATATATATATATTGACTATAAACTAACCGAAATAAACGTGAATAAGTTGCTTGCGTTGCAGGGATGCGTAAATCAGTCATCTTTTTGTATACGCGAAATGCATTTTCACTATCACCAACTTTAGCTAAACCATCCAATAACATGTGAAAATGGAATCTTGATGGTTGAACACGATCAGTTTCCAACATCTGATTGAAAAATACCTTTAAAAAAAGAAAAAAGAGAAAAGAAGACAATCCATATGATAAAGAGTACTATATAGCAGAGCCAATTTTCCAATATCTTTTACAATAATACTATAACGAATCAATTATATCTCTGGATGTAAAATGACACATACAAAATCGTTTCTATGAGAATTGCATGTCATCAATAATTTATGCACATTCAAGTTACTTGAATTCCACGTGAAACACTGCTGATGATGGTGATGATTATGACAATTCCTATCGTATGGGATGAAACAAGTGTTACACAATCCAATCTATCGCCTTATTGATCTAGCAATGTTAGCGCCCACATAGGGTTAGGTTAGAAAACAGTTATAGATTGTCAAGACAAAAAGTAAATGGTATTAATCTGTGAAGTTCTTGACAGTTGGTTTGAACCAGCCACATGGAGAGGTGTAAATTACCCATTCAGGGTCATGGAGACGCTAAGAACCACTGGCTGGAGACTATTAATGGTTCAGAATCTCTGTTAACAGCACTTCTTGTAATCTCCTAGATTCAATATGTCCTCATTTTTTTCCTTGGTCCACAGCCACGCTCAACCTTCCGAACATCCAACACCTCCCTGAATGGGATATAGACACACGTCCTCCATCCCTAACTGAGGTTACTAAAGCTGTCACCAATCTGAAACTAGGCAAAGCAGCGGGACCTGATGGAATGACTCCAGAGGTATTTAAGTACGGTGGAGACAGCTTACTGTCCGGATTAACTGAGGTACTAGGCAGCGTCTGGGAATCAGAAGAAGTCCCATCGGGTTGGTGTAAGTCACTGATTATCCCCATACACAAGAAGGGAGACAAGTCTTCCTGTGATAATCACAGAGGGATTAGCTTGACAGTGGTTAGGACTCTCGCCGACCATGCACATGGTCCCGGGTTCGAGCCCTCGCCGACGCACACCTGATATCTATGGTCGGCCTGCGAATTTTGGGCTACCGATATCCACGCTGAAAATTCCATACTTGTACCAAAAATACGGTGTGGAATCAAGCTGTAATCAAAAATAAATAAAATAAAAATAAAAATAAATAAAAAATAAAATATAGTATCTAAAGTCTTAGGCTCAATAATCATGAGTAGACTAAGTGGTGCTCGGGAGGCACAAACACGAGAGAGCCAGGCAGGCTTTAGACCAGGAAGAGGGTGTATTGATCATATCTTCACCCTCCGACAGATTCTAGAACATAGGAATTCCTACCGGCGTCCAACAGTCATTATATTTCTTGACCTAAAGGCAGCATTCGACTCTGTCGATCGGGAAGTTCTCTGGAGATGCTTGGCTGTAAAGGGAATTCCAAGAAAATATATTGCACTGATTAAGGCACTCTACTCGTACTCATACAGCCAGGTGAGGGCTTACGGCGAGCTGTCATCTGAACTGATGACGACCAGTGGTGTCCGTCAAGGATGCCCATTATCCCCTTTTCTATTCAACTTCATCATAGATGTGTTAATGGACTTAACCCTAGGTGACTTCAGCGACTCAGGGATTGACTTGCTACCAGGGAATAATCTCGTTGACTTGGAATATGCAGACGATATAGTCCTTCTAGGCGAAGACGCTGACGAAATGCAGAGTCTTCTAAACACCTTGAACAGCAATCTACGAATGTTTGGCATGCGATTCGCTCCCGCCAAATGCAAGATGATGTTACAGGACTGGACTACATCGACGCCTAGTTTAAAAATAGGAAGTGAAGTGGTAGAGCACGTTGACCGCTTCACTTATTTGGGAAGTACCATCAGCCCCAACGGGCTGATCTCTGACGAAATCTCAGCACGAATACAAGGGGCTCGTTTCGCATTTGTTAGTTTACGCCGACTCTGGCGTAGACGAGATGTTCGACTATCGACCAAAGGGCGGGTGTACTGCTCATCAGTCCGCTCCGTCCTCCTTTATGGTTGTGAGACCTGGCCACTGAGAGTGGAAGACATGAAAAGACTAGCTGTCTTTGATCATAGGTGCCTGCGTTCTATTTCCCGTCTAAAGTGGCATAATAAGGTGAGCAACATTGAAGTTAGGCGTAGAGTTCTAGGTAAACAGGGGAAATCAATCGACGAAGTCGTGAAGCTACAAAGACTGAGATGGTTAGGACATGTGTTACGTATGACAAGCCATCGCCTCCCTCGACGAGCTATGTTAGCGGATATAGGATCAGGCTGGAAAAAAGCTAGCGGCGGTCAAACAAAAACTTGGCATCAGTCAATGAAATCCACAACAGTTGGTCTAAGCCACGTAGAAAGGTGTAGACTTCCAGGCTGGGGTCCTCGGGACGGTAAAAATCTATGGTTGGAAACAATTGGTGACATGGCTCAAAACCGTTCTCAGTGGCTCAGATGCATCCACTCCCTGTGACTTATGATCTTCAATGAAACTGTTTTGTATTTCTTTATTACTCCTTTGTCTCACACCTCTGCTCACTGTTTCGATTATGCTTTTCTTGTACTTTCTTCTCTTGCTTCGCGTGCGACACGGAATGTGGCGACTTGAACTTCCGCACATTTGTGCAAAGTTCTATGTCGAAAACAGACAGACAAAGTCTTTATACCAGACAAGAATACAAACAAACAAATAAACCGAGTATTTAATACAACACCAATAGGGAAGATTTGTAGCTCAGGTGGATGATTTCGAATTAGTCGTCTTCTCTGAGCTGGTTAGTTTAGTTGCCGAGCGTTCGTCGTCCTTCTGGACAACATCCCCTTTCAGCTCAAGTTTTAGCACAAAGTGAACTGATTTAAATTTTTTCCATGTGTGGAAGAATTGTGTCTCCCGGTAACCATCTTTACATATGTATTGATCATTTTCTATTGACTTGAATTTTAAACTTTCTGGTCACATGATCTACTTTTTATTAGTTGGTAGATTCGGTCTGTGTTAACGTGTTTGTTAATCGCATATTGTTGTTTGAGTACCAGGCTTCTAGGAATTCCCTGGCACTTTTGGTGTGTCCTCTGTCTGAAATTTCGACATCATCCCAATCAAACTGATGTCCATAATTATCTATATGCATTAATATGAAAGAATGTATATCGTGTCTTTCCACAGATGATTTGTGCTGCTGGATTCTGATTCGAAGGGGATGCCCACTCTGGCCGATGTAATGTCTGTTATAGTTCATACAATTTATTTTGTAAATGGTATTAATTTTATCCCCTTTTTCTGTTGGATCTTTCGGTTTGCATAATATTGAATTAAGCTATTTGACTGGCTTGTGTGCTATATCTGTATCAAACGGTTTCAGTATTCTAGCTGTTATTTCAGATATATTTTCGCTTATATATGTTAGGATGAATTTTCTTGTGATCTTTAATGATGGTTCCTTGTTGGTGTTGTGATTCGATTTTAAACATTTTTGATGAAATTATGCGGATATCCATTCTTTTTGAAGACCATTTGTAAGTGTTTCTCTTCCATTCTTTTCAACGCTGCAGTACTACAGTGCGTTTGAACTGTTTTAAACAATGTCTGCACACATTTTTGAATCAGAATCCAGGAGCACAAATCATCTGTGGATAGACACGATATACATTACTTTACTTTACTTCGACTATCTCCTACGGGAGGATGAGCCGGCTTCATGAACGTCTCGAATCATCGCTGCCCAGGCGCGGCGATCTGATGCCAGGTTTTTCGACAGGGATATCCAATTCTTGTTCCACAGACGGAGTCCGTAGACGGTTTGTAGCCCCAGGCACTCCATATCAGCCTTGACTGTACCAAGCCATGTCTTCAGCTGTCCATCCCTGCGACATCGCCAAGATGGTAATGGCGAGGGATTTAGAACTGATTTGACCAGATCGTCATCTGGTCGGCGCAGAACATGGCCAAACCACCAATGGCGACGTTGTTGGACCAGTACTGGAATTGGGTTGATGTTGTAGAGAGTTCATGAAGTTTTATGGGAATTTGGTAGAATACTGAAACCGTTTGATACAGATATAGCACACAAGCCAGTCAAATAGCTTAATTCAATATTATGCAAACCGAAAGATCCAACAGAAAAAGGGGATAAAATTAATACCATTTACAAAATAAATTGTATGAACTATAACAGACATTACATCGGCCAGAGTGGGCATCCCCTTCGAATCAGAATCCAGCAGCACAAATCATCTGTGGAAAGACACGATATACATTCTTTCATATTAATGCATATAGATAATTATGGACATCAGTTTGATTGGGATGATGTCGAAATTTCAGACAGAGGACACACCAAAAGTGCCAGGGAATTCCTAGAAGCCTGGTACTCAAACAACAATATGCGATTAACAAACACGTTAACACAGACCGAATCTACCAACTAATAAAAAGTAGATCATGTGACCAGAAAGTTTAAAATTCAAGTCAATAGAAAATGATCAATACATATGTAAAGATGGTTACCGGGAGACACAATTCTTCCACACATGGAAAAAATTTAAATCAGTTCACTTTGTGCTAAAACTTGAGCTGAAAGGGGATGTTGTCCAGAAGGACGACGAACGCTCGGCAACTAAACTAACCAGCTCAGAGAACACTACTAATTGCACAACAACACCAAGATAATATGGTGCTTTGTAAACCCAACACTACTTATCACTATTATCGAAACAATCTAACAAGACGCTAACCTAAAGGCAAAATCAGGAGAACTGAGAAACTGTGTGTGGGAATCGTTAGATTTAGACTTTGCTAAATGTTACCAGAGTGAAAATAAATGATTATCTACACAAAATGTTAACAGTTCACAACAATACAGCGATACTCGACGGGAACAAAACTAATGAGAATGTAACGTAGGTGTATTTGCATGCTGTAAAAACGTTAGTGACTTATTGATTTAGACTTCGAACCCGACTCCACCTAATAAGGTTCGGATAGCCAGCTAGCTTCATTAGTCCTTACACAATAGTTGTGCCTCATGGCTAACCATATGAAAAGGCATCTCCCTTTATTAAGTAATGCTTCCTATTTTTTTTAAATGAAGTCCAAACACTTAGCAGAGAATATCAGCTATCTTCAAGAATACATAATTCAAGTAAAAGGCAAAATTGTAAACTCACGGATAACGCTGAATTCGTATCACCCGTTTTACAGAAACGTATAATCTGTGCAGAATAATATTCAGGAGGATGACGACGATTCACTTTGCTCAAACGCAAACGATCAGCAGGATCTTCTTCAGGGTCTGTAGTTAGTAATTCATCTATGACAGATTTATGCTCAGATTTATCAATCGATCGTGAGACAAGTGACTCATGACACGCTTGCTCCTGACTCAAAGCTTCTACAAGACAGAGAGAGAAAGAAAAAACAGAGTAACGATTGAACTTAGTCTTGCAAACTGTTAACTGCTAAGAAGCAAAAATATGTGGTATAAAAATATTATGAAGATAAAATCAGATGCGAGGTGATGTAATAATAGTAACTATGAGTCATTTGACATAGTGAAGTATTCTATTCAATATATATGAGCATAAAGGTTTACATAATAACACAACTTGGCAGTCTGTTGGTTATAAACTTGCTTAAAACATTAGTAATCAAGCAAATAGTTTCCCCTGTGATATTTATACTCTCTGTTGGGTAGAATACGGGAACATAGAAGTCTTTCTAATGGGTTACAAGTCATATCATTTGCATGAAGGCTTATAATACCATCCAGGTGATAAGCTTGAAGTACACGGGATGGGAATCAAGCGTAAGACTCACTACCCAAAAATTAATGGTTGTTAGAATTCAATCATGCGGAACAAATTTCTAATGTACCAGGCTGTGAACTACACTTACAATGTGGAGGCTGATGATGCTACCCAGTTACCTTTCAACTAATATCACGCACATCAGGTTCTTGAGTTGAGCCCTAATTGAAAATTGACGAGTTGGGTGTCTGAAGTCACATAAAGATCAGGTGGAGAAGGAATGAAAGCTTGTTAGTAGGCAGAAAGCCAGTTGAAAGTGATGTCAAGGAACAAAGTGCAATGGAGACATTCTAGTGAAGCCCCCTGTTCCACTTGGAACAAAACAAAGATTTTTATTCCATTTTATTTGGATAGTTTGATTGCATCATGTGACTTTAAACAACAAACGTTTACAGTGAAGAAGATACATTTGGATGTTATAAACACGCTTCACAGTAGGGTTCACTATTCTGTGCCAGCCAAGAAATGCTATACTGAAATAGACCTTTTCATAGTGTGAGTAGATCAATGTTTAACTGCTTTAGGTATGTCTGTCTGTATATTTTCGACATAGAACTTTGTAGTTCAAATCGCCACACTCCCTCCTTGTAGTACACAAAGATAGAGAAGAAAGTAGAAGGAATTCATAATAGAGACAGTGAACAGAGATGTGAGACAAAGGAATAGTAATAACGAAGAACAATATAGTTTCATTGGAAATCATAAGTCACAAGGAGTGGATGCATCTGTGCCGGCCATTGAGAACGATTTTGAGCCATATCACCAATTGTTTCCAACCATTGGTTTTTATCGTCCCGAGAACCCCAACCAGGAAGTCTACACCTTCCTATGTGGCTTAAACTAACTGTTGTAGATTTCATTGACTGGTGAAGCTGCGTTTTGGTTTGACCGCCTTTAGCTCTTTTCCAGCCTGACCATATATCAGCTAACATTTCCCGTCGAGGAACGCGATGACGAGGCATACGTAACACATATCCAAACCATCTCAGTCGATATAATTTCACAGCCTCGTCGATTGATTTCCCCTCCCACCTACCTAGCACTCGACCGACGCCTAACCTCAATATTGCTCACCTTATTATACCACTTCACACGGAAGATAGAGCGTAGGCACCTACGACCAAAGACTAATCTTTTCATGTCTTCCACTTTCAATGGCCAGGTCTCACAACCAGCCATAAAGGAGGAGGGTTCGGACTGATGAGCAGTACACATGCCCTTTGGTCGATATCCGGATATCACGTCTGTACCAAAGACGGCGTAAACTGGCAAATGCGTGACTAGCCCTCTGTATCAGTGTTGAGATTTCGTCAGTGAACAACCCGTTGGGACTGGCTAATGCAACTTCGCAAATAAGTGAATTGGACAACCTGCTCTACTACTTCACTCCCTATTTCTAAACTGGGAGTCAGTGTAGCCCAGTCCTGCAGCAAAAATCATCCTACATTTGGCGGTTGCGAATCGCATGCCAAACATTCGTAGGTATGGCTTTTCCTAAAGTGCTTAAGAAATAGAAGAATTTTTTAAATGGATATAAATCAACTCACCTGCACTAAGAGCACCAAAATCAAACGGATCACTTTCAGTGATAACATTTAAATTCTGTTCTGAATCACGTGTTTCCAGAAAGCTATCATATTCTGAATCTTCTTCAGGTTCTTGAAGTTTCAAGTATCTATGGATTTTAGCCTTCTGGTTAATTGCCTCCACAAAATCCCGAGAAGACAAATTAGTATTGTAACGGGATTGTAAACGTCGCCATGACAAAAGACAATTAGCGCTAGCTACCTCAAATCTATAACAGAACAGCTTTATTGTTGTTGTTAGAAGTTTATTATCAAAAGAAACCTACTGATGATTTCAGTAAACTATGTAGTTTAGCAGAGTTAGATATCATTCTCACGCCAAAATAATGCGATACCACTGTATCAGCCAACAAACTACATATGAACACTTATTACATGGTATCTGAAAAACAGATAGAAGTAAATTTTCATTAGTTTACTAAATACAAAAAAAACGGATAATTGGAACAACCACTGAGACTCTCAGGAAAGTTTAGTAACTATAGATTTTACAATCAATGAATCCTACTTCTTGGTAAGAGTAGCTATTGGCAAAACCTGCAAAATATTTCATTAAAAAACCACTTACTTGTGCTAATAAAAAGTATCAGTACAACAAATTGACTAATCTAGTGCTTGCTATTCGAATTTATGTGACCTAAATATCTGTTTTGAGGAAAATAGAAACTCTACTCAATAATCATTTCGACTTTTGTAGGTCAGGACTTATGATGCTACCTGGTCGCACAAACTATACTAAGAAGTGGAGTAGGGGTTCAGTCTATGACCAATTTATTGAAGCCACAGTACCATCACAGCTTGTGCTTTAGTATGTCTCAGATTCATCTTGTGATTTGGTGGTGATCAAGAACAGCGTCCTTTACAGGTTGATTTAAGTAAACTTGTAGCACCTGCTACCACTGCAAAGTACTGGGGTGATTTTAACTCAAGGCTAGCTAGCAACCCTCTAAATAGTATAAGTGAATATTAGCTACACCCGGAAGACGTTATGGAAAAGGGGGATAAGGCCTCTTGTGTGTTGAAATAATACTCCGCTACAAACAACTGGGTTTTGAGAGTTCCTTGCAACTTCTAGATGCCTGTCAGTCTACTCCGGTAGACATCAAGTATAACAACATGCGCAAGGCGCTTACGCATGAGACGAGTGTTTACATAAGGACCGCAAAGTCTGATGGTTAGAACTTGCGTGTCACATGGAACCAGCAGTTGCATCTGACAATAGCTGGGGGCTGTTCCAACTTATCTGAGCCACTGGTAGAAAGAAGCACGATATCAGCGAGAAGTTATTAATCCTACACTGGAGTATTTCAGCTAGCTGAGAAAAAAAGGATAATGAGGTGATGATAGCTAATACTAATAGCCTACAGATAAGCATGAAAAATTTCGTATAAGTTTATTTTAAATATCACACAGTGACGCAGTATTAGCAACTTGATGATGTTTTCGACATAAATTATTGCTCAATATCATAAGAATTTTAGTCGCACAGCTTCATAATTTGTCCTATGCATATATTCTCTCTTCTTCTCTCACTCTTCCCCTTGTTGTTTGTTGCCACTTTTCATATACTTGGGCTCTAAGTGTTACTTTCAGTCTAGTATACAAAAGACCTGTCCTGGGTAACTGAGTTTCAAACGAAGAATTCATACCCAAGGCATCTATCAACAGACTCAACCAGCAAATTAGGCAGTTAAGAATGACAGTGTTTTGATACTCTATACTACCGTATCTAGCTTGTTGCTGCTTAAGACTAAGTTTAATTTTCGTAGACCGTTGTGTCACATGGAGGATGAAAGCAGCCGTCTGCTTATAACGAGGATACAATGAAGTGAAAGTTCAAACGAGTACAGGAATAATGGATGCGATGTTGTGATATATTCAACTGCTTATTAGTGAGAAGAATCATGTCATCTTAATACTGTCTCACTACAGTTCTAATAGGACAGGACTGGTAATAGCTGAATGAATTATGAGCAAATTATGAATATGGCCAAGAGCGAAGGAAATGGGCGAATCAGGTTGTGATTATTTCTATTCCAACCAAACTTAAACCAATATTTCATAATTCTGACCATTATTTAACCAGAATTTGTCCATTATATTACCATTCTTGCCCGATACATAATGTAAGGTCCATTTTAACCACTACCTAACCATCATACGCCCATTTTTGTCCTACTGGGGCGTTTCTTCCAATTAAATTTTTCTGTTCCAAAAACGTTTATTGACACAGAAAGCAGTGATTCACCTACAACAATATAGGATTAGATGCAAAGCACTAACTAAACGTGTGCTAGTCGACCTTCACAAATTACCAAACACAGACTAAATGCGATAAAATACCCGATCGCCTATATTTACTGTAATTTGAATGCAACGTAATAACTGATCCAATAAGTAAAATTAGTGACAGGATGTAAAAACACATATGAAAAGCAAGTACTGACCACACGTGTGGGCTACTTGTTACGGTAACAGTGATTGTGCCGCTGCTTCATGCAGCAGTCCAATATACAATATGGTTTGTACGATTAGTGTTAACCAAACTGATTTCTTTGGGCTGAAATTATCCGTAACTTATCAAGGTCATTGGTGGAGTGAGACGCTCGAAGGTCATTTTCGTCCATATCAGTCGGCCATGTTGGATTGCAGTTCCGTAGCTGTTCGTGTACGCGTTTGTTGTTCCGTTTATCCTGCCGTTATACACGACTTATCTTGTTGCGTATTGTTCACAAATGTTGCGTTTCACCTCATTTTTTGTTTCTGTTGCTGTTAAAATGAATTATTTCTTTGGTTTTGGAACTTTTCACTACCAGGTCAGTGCATTCATTTCGGTGTAATTGTTTCATACCTTGTATTTATGCGGCTTTCAGTGTTTTAGTTGGTTTTCAGCTGTTAATGAATTGGTAATGTGTAGAAGTTTCGGAAATCATGCACATGAAGACGTTTGGTTGGCAGAAGCAGTTGTTTTCAGTCCATTTATTGGTTGCCGTTATTCTTGTTGGCTCATTTAATAACCTAAGATGTAGAAATCGTGGAAAAAAGTGTCTTTCTCGTTCATGTTTACAGCATGCAACAATCTGCGAGTGAATCTGTTAGAGGGAACACTATCAGAGTTGATGTTAGCAAAGTTTTCGAAGAACAAATTAAACCTGGAAAATTTAGAACCTGGGTTGAAGTTGAAAAAGCTTTGAAGCTTTTTGAGAATGTGAATATACCATCCGTGTGTCTGCTATCATTTAAAAAAATATATTGTGAGAGAATCTAAGCCAAATAAGGTTGAGCCGCATGAAAAGTATGAATCTGTTGTGCTTGTGTGTATTTTGGGGGAACTAAAAGAACCTGGAATCCTTAAGGGTAAGTGTTACTTATGCTTATTATTGCTTGATGTACTAGATCCAAATACATGAACTAGGACTACCCGTAATAGAGCCAGTGTTAACATCCATTCGATGGGTTGCAAAACGGTTTTCAAAGCGGATAAAATACGGTGATCTGGTGAGTGTACAAACAATCCCAGTTAAAGGTAAGACATTAATTAGGAAGAATAACGTTTCGGGTTGTAGTCTACGATCGGTGGTTTCCTCGAAGTTGTGGATTTTCCGTGACTATAACACAGATGTTCACGATCTTAAAAAAAACTAAATAAATTTTCCTTGAACCAGTAGTCTTCTTTTCTTCGGCGAAACATCCGTTAATACGACTATACGATTAGGTAGCGAAGTAAGATGTTATGTGACTGAGAATCGTGGTTGTTGTGTTTTGGACTAATTTCGCGCATCTGACTGTTATAACCGCATGGATATAGCGTTTTCCTCATGGTACATTATGATATCTAGAAATCATAAGCACGCTGCCATCGGTAAATTTATTTTTACTTTTTAAATGGCTGCAAATAGTGAGTCGTTTGCGGTGATAGGATGAATACCTCTGAACGTTTTTGTGGAGACTAGGGTATATTTAATTTTTTCGAGTAAGGGACGATCTTTTTACCAAGAAAGTTCTCGGAATTTTCGTTATTCAAAGATAACGCTAAGTTGCCCACTAAGGTGGTAACTATAGGAGATAACCTTCAGCGGAAACTATATTAATGTAGTTTTAGGTAATGCGTCATAGGCATCGTAGGTTAATTGTGTCTAAATGTATTAAACGTTGTATAACTGATCAAACCATAGTTCTTACGTGCGAGTTAGTTTTATAAATAATGAATGTACCGTACAAGCGTCTACCTTGATTTGCATACCTAGCTCATAAACATTATGCCTGCATGTGGCATACATTTAGGGCCAACACGCTGCGATGAATCAGTCCGAGATACTTCAAGTCAGACTTCATTTCCATATCACTATTATCAATTTTGCAACGGTCATAGGAATTAACACCTTCAACTAACTTTCGTTTACATCGGAAACTGAAAATAACAGTCTGACATTTCGAAGGATTTAGTTTAAGAGCATTTTCCCACTCCTAATAGAGAGCTGTTCATCTTAGTACAGTGTAGCTGGCAGTTAACAGACATTGAAGTAGTTAGATCGTCCGCGTGTTTGAAAAAGTTCTTTTCGTATGCATTCGTACAATAAGTTCATCAAACAAAATACAATTGGTAATGGACGACTTCCCCCTGACCTACAGTGTACTGCTTTCTCCCTGATAAATAAGAATGAAGCCATCTAACAATCCAATACTCAGTTTGAGTTTCAGCAAGCTTATCTAACAGAATATCTCTAGGTACTGAGTCGAAAGCAGATGTGTAATCTAGGAAGGTGCAGCGAATTTAGCCCCATTGTCTATACTGGAGAAAATGTTGTGAAGCAAGACTGCAGCTGCATCTAAAGTACGTCTACTGTGTTTATAGGAGAACTGTTTGGGATCGTTAAAGGCTCTGAGTGAGGGTTAAAGATTAAGTAAGAGTAACTTTCCCTTAGTTCGTATATACCTCATTTGATTTGAAACAAAGGAAGCAGGTCTTATTAACGCTTGTAACACTAGAAAGTTTGGCATTTATGGGAGAATTTATGAAAGACTTGTTTAGTTTACACACACCAAATGAATAGGGAATACTGGAGGTAATTACATGCATACAGGCGTAGGTTATTTAACATCTATAAAGTAGACATGCAAATACCGCAGTTTTTGATCACAGAAATGATGGATACTAGATAACATCCTATGATTCAACGGCATATTAAAATAAATAAAAAATGTTTCTTAGCTGATCGTCAAGTGAACAGTCTATTTGATGATGTCACTGCATATTAACGGATTAGTGAAGTAGATATCAAGCCTAAGTTACTACATTTACTTGTACTAC